AGCCTCGTCACCAAACTCGGTACGCCAGGCGTCGCTCAGACGAGCGAAGCAGCGGGACTGTGTGTGACTAAGCGTCCCGCAAACCTGACCAGTCCGATCACCTGTGCGAATGACGTATGGGCAGCGAACGGTAATCAAAGACCCTCTACTCTGAGCGTACCACTCGTGAAGCTGCCGAGACATAAGTGTCTCTCGCGAACACCGCTGCAGCTGCAGCTGGCCACTGCCAGACGCTCCCAACTGACCAGCTCCAGGGCGACAGCCACGACGGCTACCGCCACAACCCAAACTACCTGGCGTACCACTCACGAAGCTGCTGGGGCGTGAGAGACTCGCGCGGACGTCGCTGGACCTGCATCGCAGCAGTAGCAGCAGCAGCAGCAGCAGCAGCAGCAGCAGCAGCAGCAGCAGCAGCAGCAGCAGCAGCAGCAGCAGCAGCAGCAGAAGTAGCAGCAGCAGCAGCAGCCTAGCAGCAGTAACAGAAGTAGCAGCAGCAATAGCAATAGCAACGCGGGCAGGCAGGCAGGCCGGCAGGCAGGCAGACAGGCAGGCAGGTAGGCAGGCAGGCCGGCAGGCAGGCAGGCAGGCAGGCAGGCAGGCAGGCAGGCAGGCAGGCAGGCAGGCAGGCAGGCAGGCAGGCAGGCAGGCAGGCATGCAGGCAGGCAGGCAGGCAGGCAGGCCGGCAGGCAGGCAGGCAGGCAGGCAAGCAGGCAGGCAGGCAGGAAGGCAGGCAGGCAGGCAGGCAGGCAGACAGGCAGGCAGACAGGCAGGCAGGCCGACAGGCAGGCAGGCAGGCAAGCGGTGCGGCAACGCGCTAACAAGGCAGGTGCTCACCAGTGGCGGGAAGAGCAGGCGCTCGCCGGGCGAGCAGGGCCTGCGCTCGTCGGCGGCGACGGCGGGGCCGCAACAGCGGCTGCAGAGTAGGGCCGCGTCAGTTGCAGGGCTGGGGCCACGTCAGCGGCAGGGCAGGACCGCGGCAGCTGCTGCAGGGCGGGGCCGTGTCGGCGGCAGGGCGGGGCCGTGTCGGCGGCAGGGCGGGGCCGTGTCTACGGCGGCAAGGCGGGGCCAGGCTGGGCCGCGTCGGTGGCAGGGCGGGGCCGCGACAGCGGCAGGGCAGAGGCCGCGTCGGCGGCAGGGTGGGGCCGTGACAGCGGCAGGTCGGGGCCGCGTCGGGGCAGGGCGGGGCCGCAACAGCGACAGGGCGGGGCCACGTTCGCAGCAGGGGCAGCTGCGGGCCGCGTGCGCGCTGCGCGAGCTCGGCGCGGGCTGCGCAGGCGGTGCGTGGGGCAGCTGCGGGCCACGCACGCACTGCGCGGGCTTGGCGCGGGCTGCGCATGCGGTGCTCGGGGCAGCGGCGGGCCACGCGCGCGGGCTGCGCGGGCTCGGCGCGGGCTGCGCGGGCGGTGCGCGGGGCAGCTGCAGGCTGCGCGGGCGGTGCGCGGGCTCGACGCGAGCAGGGAGGGCGACGCGCGGGGCAAAAGGAGGGGCAGCGCGCAGGAATCAGGTCTGCGCGCGTGAAGCAGCAGCAGGCAGCTCAGACAGCAGACAGTGCAGACAGCAGTCAGCAGGCAGCAGGCAGACAGTGCGCGCAGCGCAGCACGTCGTAGGCACAGTCACAGTCACAGTCACAGTCGTGGGGTAGCGGTAGGTGGGCCCGAAAAAAAAGACGGTCCTACGGACCTACTGCTCTAATAGCATGTCAGAAGTCTAGGCAGGAATGATTGAACTATGAGGGAATTGGGTACAAATGTGAAACCCTAAAGGGGCTGTACCCCATATTGGCTACCGCACTACAGCCTAAACACATATAGCATATACGACATTTGACAACCGAGGCGATCACCTATCTTATGTTGGATGCGCCGGCTCGGTCCATGCAATTCTACCCCGAATGGGCAGAGTTCCGCGAGGTCGTCTGCATGAAGTACGAGGTCGCGGGCGTTCAATCAGACGTTTTTACTACGTCATCAGCAACGACCCCAGCAAAAAGGCGCTGGCGATGCGGAAGGTGTCGGAGAGGCGGTCGAATGTCAACGCTGACGCCAAGTCTTATGGCAGAGGTCCTGGTGGGTGCGTTCCGGAGAGCAAGTGGAAAATTCTCGCGGAAGAGAATGTGGCGCCGTCCATCTCGCGAACCCCTGCGGAGTGGTGCCGTTTTTAGGGACATCATGAGTTAAATATCGCCTCGTTTAGCTATGTGTTCGCTACGTGCACGCGGTATGTGTTTCTCGTAGCTTCTAACTCGCTGTTTCCTTACGACCTTTCCCTCTAATCTTGCAGCTGTCTATGGGCCTGGAGCTAACTGGCATTTCGATCTGACAAGCAACCGCCCTGTATGCCAACCTCGCTTTCCAGCTAGCTCATCTTCGTGGGCTTGGCAGCAAGCGTGCAACCTTTTTGCATGTGAAGATCCCCACTGTGGGCTATGTGTGCAACGTGGTCAGTGTCTGTTGTTTCTAAGTGCTTGATATCTTTTTGGCCCAATGGAAATATAACTAAACCTTGTATGCCTGTTGCAATTGCAGGTGGAGTGGCCCCTGGTGAATGCAAGGGGGCGCCAGACTCCGGCAGTGGCAGTGAACCGCCAGAATGTGGCGCCTAAGATCGATCAGGTTGCTGCCTGGATTAAGGCAACCTATGACGCCGGGAATCGGGCTGTCTGGGACTCCAGCCCCCCTGTTGGCTTCAACATGGGCCCTAGGATTAAGATCCTGGCGGAGGGTTTTGAGTCGGTGATTTTCCCTAATGCAACCCCACCTTGAGAGTCCTAGTGAAGGTAGTGGTACTACTGTAGTCTTGTTGGTGTAGCTGGTGCTACTCTAGTCTGGTTGATGTACCAAGTGCTACTGTAGTCTGGTTAAATAGGTGGTTGTAGATTCTGCTAACTGGATTTGTTACCTTGTAACGGATGCTATTACTACCGAGTACGACACTCGACTACAAGAACTATCTGGCTTATTGGCGGATCAATAATGCAACACGTATTAAAGCACAAGGGGCTGTAACCTGGTTGGTAACAGTGCAATTGTTAATTCACTTCAAGCACTCGAGAATTAATCGCGATTTCCCGTAACAGAGCAACATATCAAAATGTAACCGCGCGCACTCTGCCACCTCAGCCTCGTAAATGATCAGGCCAGGTCATCAGCGAGCTGGATGACAAATGGCCATCCGCAGGATACTCTGTATATCGTTCACACACAGCCGCACATTGTACCCCCCGTGTGTGGCAAAGCACCTCGGTACTTCGATGACCGGGCATTACTAGCCCTCACTGTTCTGACTGAATTCACTTATACGAAGCTGGCAAAAGTTTGAGAAGTTGAAACGATGGCAAGAATGTTTGTGTTTAGTTGAGACATTTGTTGTTGGATTGTGCTACTGTTGTGGTTGAGGCATATGGTAACTAAGAACATGCACAACCAACAAATGACACTGGTCCACAGTACCTAGAGTAAGTCAAGCATGTTACAACCTTGCACCCCTAAAGTCACCCTTTCCCCGTGGCGAAAAAGGCGAAACAGGGCGAAATCATGCATTACAGTAGAAGAACATACCGCCCGGCTACGAAGGGTGACTGTAACGCGTATCGACTGTAGTGCTCGAACGTGGGTGTCAATCTGCCTAACCCATCACACGTACAGGTGTTCCGGGTTAAAGGCCATTGCTAGATGAGTCCATTTTCCATCTTGAGTAGAATTTTCCGATATTGCCTAGGGTTGTCCCGACCCCTATAGTCCCATCTTTGGTGGGAAATTTTGAGGCTTGACCGAATCATTGCACGAATCAGCTCCGCAGCCAATCAGAGGCTCCAAATTGAACCATCCCAACATCCGGAGAAAATTATAGATAAGGGATCATCGATTCGACATTTAACCTCCAAATTCTAAGTAATTGTTTTTCTTGACCGTGATCACTTCTCAATCCTGTTGCGCGGTCTCCAGCGCGCTCGACGATGACATCACGTTTATCTCGTTTACAGGGTAAAACAGAAGTTTTTACCTTCTAATCGACCCCCAAACCATAGTTTATTTTGTTTTTTTTTTTTCCCGTTGGTCATGCGAAATTGATCAGCGCGTGGAAGCGTGTGACAAGAAGTTGAAGCCAGCGCGGTCCAAATTTAAGAAAAAGACCAAAAACCAAACATTTTAGCAAACAAACCACTATTCATGTAAATTGTCTGAACGGGACTATAAATATCGCGTTTTGCCTGGGGTTTGAAAATTTCGGCATACAGTCCACGCGCTTCGGCTCAACCCGTCGGACTATAAGCCGAAACACCTGTACATTGTCTGCTCTAAATTTCGCCAGAACTCAACCCCAACTAGCCGAGCTCATCTAAAACACCCCAAACCAGGCCTCACAACTTTGGTGCTGTTCGCCAGCAAATCGTTTCTTCAACAGAAAACGATGGCATCAGCATCGCGACCGCATATGGAAACGGGGGCGGAACCCTCCTCCGAGGTTTGGCTGTAATGCCGTTTAAGAAACTTGTGCGCCTGCGGTTGAGAAATTTCGCAACCGCATAGGGAACCTCCATCCCACCTTCCCCCCGATCCCTTTTGAACGGCAATGCGACGGCTGTGCCACCGCTGTGCTTCGAAAAACGCAGCATGGCGATGGCATGGCTAGGGGATGGTGTTTTGCCTGGGGACGAAGTTTCGTCCCCGCTTCCATATGCCGTCGAAGCGTTAGATTTGGTGGACAAAAGTGGGCGTTCGCCAGACGCCCACTTTGTTTGTTGGTTTGGACGGTAGGTGAGGCTCGGCACTTTTTTCACGGGCTGACCAGGCTGACGGAGGTTAACGAACTCTAACTGACGGGATCAGGAAGGCGAGACCCACCTTCCTGATCCCGTCGTTATCCCGTGTTTTTTTTTCTATAATGGTGCTGGCGAACAGCCCCTTTCTGATGGTGGCTGTGTGCGCGAAAGTTAGCGCCCATCTGTTTCTTTTCTCGGCCATACTTGGCTAGCCAGCACTGGTGTCATGGCGTCAGCAATGCCCCCAGCTATATCCTCAGTTACGTCGTCAGCTACGTCGTCAGCTATGCCGTCGAGGGTGAAGCGAGCGTCGGCGTCGAGCCACATCACTCTCCTCTCCGTTTTCATCGCCGGCTCGGCGCTGATGCCTTCGGGGTAAGCTTCCATACACCGCCGCGCGACCTCTACAGAACTGCATTTCTCCCCTAGTTCGCTTTCTATGCTTGCAAGAGATTCGACTCGAATGGGTCATGACGATCTGATGGCGTAACCGCAGCTTCATTTCCGAAAATCTCCCCTAGTTCGTTTTCTTGAGTCAATCTTTTTTGATCGGATCAAAACAGTGCTGATTTGCGCGAGTCACGCTCCCGTATCTCATGTGTCAGGTGTTGGGCTCAGCGCACCACCATGAGCACCATGAGCACCATGAGCACCATGAGCACCATGAGCACCATGAGCACCATGAGCACCATGAGCACCATGAGCACCATGAGCACCATGAGCACCATGAGCACCATGAGCACCATGAGCACCAGTTTCTCGTCTTCCTACGTTTGCCTACTCTCTGTCTTCCTAACTCTCCTCTCTCAGGTGCTGGGCTCAGAATACCACCATGAACGCGACTTTCCACAGCGACTTCTTCCAAGGCGACGTGCGCATCATCGTGGGTCCCTACCGTAACAAATTCCGCGTCGAGGTTCGTTCGCTCGTTCGCTCGCTCGCTCTTTCGACCATTCGCCGTCCGTGCTCGTTCGTTTGTTCGTTCGTGCTGCACAGGCATCCGCGAGGCCTGCTCACATTGTGCCTACGTCTGCCCTGCAGAAATGACTTCCGGGCAGAAAAATATCCCTGCTTGCCGTTTCTCTACCTACGTGTACCGGCAGATTACACTCGCATGCATGTGTTTTTCTCTCCTTTGGGCGTCGTGATTGTCGCCCAGGCTGATGCAAATTTCCTTTCCCCTGCAGGCGAACATGCCGGACTGGGCCAAGTCGGCCACACTTAAGCAGGAGTACATAGTTGAGACTTACCCTTTTCCGTCCAGTGAGTGACAGTAGCAGGAAAAAAATGAAGGAAACTGGAAAAGAACATTTTTTTTTTTTTTTTTTACTCTCCTTTCATAAGTGGCAGTGCTTTGGATACCGGCTCCAGTGAGTGGCATTGCCGCCTGTTCAGATGCAACTCCCTCTTTCTTCCACCTTCCTCCGCTCTCCCCATCACTCCCTCTTCCTGCCCTTTTTTTAGTTGATTGTTCAGCAAACTCATTCTGCGTTCTACCTCGTTTTTTTCGGGGCTTGCTTGCTGTCTCCTGTCTGCTTGCAGACTTCTCCTCTCTCACGGACGCGAAGCACGCTACTTTGACCTTCGCCCCTTCCAACTGCTACCCCCTCTGTGAGTGTGAAGTGAAGACCCCATGTCCCCTAACTAACTAATTAGGCCATGTATTCAGTTGACTGTTGTCAGCAATGTGCCATGCGTGCACTTGATTGTGTCAGCAACTGAACTTTCATGAAAGCTCAAACCATAATCTGCTCTCTCATTTCTCGCACTCACCTCTCTCGCCTCCCTCCTTCCCCTCTGCAGACAACAGCACCTTCCTTCTTGACGGCAGAGCAGACCGTCCCTGCATACCTTGCGTCAGGCCCAAACATCTGCCTCTCCTCTCTCGCCCCTCTTCTCTCAGCACACCATTCCTGTACCACTCACACACTCCTCTCTCCCCACCTCCTCTCCCACCTCCCTCTCCTCCCGCTGCAGCCGGCAGTGTAACCCCTGAACAGGCCGTTCCAGCGTACCTCGCGTCAGGCCCGGACCTTTGCCTCTCCTGCTACGTCTACCTCACCTTCTCCTTCCTCGATCCGACCACGGCCAGCCAGATCGGAAGCACGTGCACAGAGACAGACAACGGGAAGCTTCGCGGATACATCTGCTCCACGGCTACGGATGCTGACGTCGCCGCAGTGGCGCAGGCATTTGGGGAACCACCGATAATGGGTGTTGGCGGGACGTCGGTGGGGTTTCTCTACACGGAGATGTTTGTGCGCCAGCCCGCTGGCTCCACCATGCGCGTCCCCTCCATCCGCGTCGATCCCCTGTGAGTATCGGGAGTCTGCACGTGGATCCCCTGTGAGTAAAAACATACTCCTTGGTCCTCTTTGAGTTGCTTCCAATACTGCCGCACTGCTCAGCATTCCCCTCGTGTTCCCGTGTGCATGCATGTGTGCATGGTTGCATTTTCATGCATGGCTGCATGGCTGCATGGTTGCATCCCGCCAGAGCCATGAAGGGAATCGGGTACATCATGGTGCCATCCACCCCTAAGCCTCTCCCCGGGACCTTTGACGCCCTGCCTTTCGTTGCTGGCAACAACAGCAAGGTGGGAGACTCTCATGAGCTCAGCACGAGCAACTCACTCACTCAGCAGCAAAAGGCTGTTGGTGGAAAAGGAGCACTACTAACAGCACGGCTCTTGAGAGATTAATTCGAGCAAGTCTTGAGAGATTAACAGACTGCTAAGTCAGAAGCACTGACATCACTGCGCATGCGTCTGGCCATGTCGTGTTTTCCGTCCTATTCTCGCATCAACCTTCTTGGTTCCACTTAATAACCCACATTCGCATTACCACACGCCCATGATCTCCCCCCTTTCCCACCAGTCCATCAGCGTCGGTCTAGTGATCCCAATTTCCTTGATGACTCAGGCGTCGGTCACAACTACCCCAATCAGCAGCGTTACAAGGGCGAAAGTCGCAGCAGACAGCTTCCTTTTCTACTCCATGGATGCTCCGGCCAACCAGTCGCTTACTGTCGATGCCGTCATCTTACCCCCTGACCCCTATGGCATTGCCTCCGTTGAGGATGCCAAGTCATACTCCATCACCCTCTACATTAGCAAGGTACTTAGCCTGGGGGTCTTGTTTTGAGTCAGTATGTGTCTTGTTTTGAGTCGGCATGTGTCTTATTTTGAGTCGGCATGTGTCTTGTTTTGAGTCAGTATGTGTCTTGGTTTGAGTCAGTATGTGTCTTGGTTTGAGTCAGTATGTGTCTTGTTTTGAGTCAGTATGTCTCTTGTTTTGAGTCAGTATGTGTCTTGTTTTGAGTCAGTATGTGTCTTGTTTTGAGTCAGTATGTGTCTTGTTTTGAGTCAGTATGTGTCTTGTTTTGAGTCAGTATATGTCTTGTTTTGAGTCGGCATGTGTCTTGTTTTGAGTCGGTATGTGTCTTGTTTTGAGTCGGTATGTGTCTTGTTTTGAGCCGGCTCAAAACATCTCCCTCTTCAGCAGCATGGACCCCAGCCTGGGGGTATGTGTCTCTTAGGTATTACCTGAACGTCAAAGCTTTCTAGTGAACTTGTGTGAGAGAGAGTGTGTGTGTGTGTGTGTGTGTGTGTGTGTGTGTGTGCGTGTGTGTGTGCGCGCGCGCGCACGCGCGCGCGCGTGCGTGTGCGTGTGTGTGCGTGTGTGCGAGCGTGTGTGCGCGTGTGTGTGTTTGTGCGCTCGCGCGCGCGTGCCATAATGCACCTCTCCTACGTTGCCTTCTGTGCTTGTATGTGCAGAAAAGCACGGGCATGGCTGCTGCTGGGTGGGGTGTAACCCTGATGTCTGTGATGCTCGCTCTCCTGACCTTCCTGCCTGTCATGTAGTTCCATGACCACAAAATGCTCATGCAGAACGTTGCTCTCGCAGAAGGATGCTGTTTGAACTTTCTGGAAAAGCCAGCTGTGGCTTCATGATTGTATTATTTGGTCAGGCAGGTGTTAAGACTAAGGCAAAGGGGAATGATCAACTATCGAGGAGTTTGGTACAAAAGTCAAACCCCGACCATGCTCCAGTGTTGGGCAGGGGAATGGCAACTAAGAGAGCCAATGTCTACAGAGCCAATTTCTAAAGAGCCAGTTTTTTCCGGATCCATCTCAGAATCGACCAGCACACAGAAGAAAACCCCAGCAGCAGCACCGCCAGCCCGAGTGCCTGCTCCAGCGGCAGCGTGACAAGCAGGTTCACAAGCACCCCTGCCAGCACCACACCGGCCAGATTCGCAGTCAGCGCCTCCCAAAACGGCATCCCCAGAATGTACGCACCAATCGCCCCCGACCATGCCCCAGTGCCGGGGAGAGGGACGGCCACGAAGAGAGCGAGGCCGAGCCATTGGAACTCGGCGATGGGGGCGGCCTTGGCGCGGGAGTGGTCCAGAAAGGAGTTGAGGAGGGATTTGAGGCGCGGGTTGAGGTTGGCGAGAGTGGTGGTGGCTGGACCGAGGAGGGTGAGGAGGAACGGCACTGGCACCATGTTGCTGTGGTGGAGGGGGTGGGGGGCGGTGGAGGGGTCAGGGGAAACGGGGGAAGCAGGAAAAGGGGAGTTGGGGTGGGAAAGCAAGGGAGTTATTGAAGGGGCAGGGGGACGGCTACGAAGAGAGCGAGGCTGAGCCATTTGAAGAACTCGACGATGGGGGCGGCCTTGGCGCGGGAGTGGTCCAGGAAGGAGTTGAGGAGGGAATTCAGGTGTGGGTTGAGATTGGCGAGAGTGGTGGTGGCTGGACCGAGGAGTGTGAGGAGGAACGGCACTGGCACCATGTTGCTGTGGTGGGGGTGGGGGGAGGGGGGTGGAGGGGACAGGGGAGACGAGGGGAGGGGCAAAAAGGGAGATGGAAGGGAGGAAAGAGAGAGCTTGAAGGGGCAGGGGGACAGCGACGAAGAGAGTGATGCCGAGCCACTGGAACTCGGCGATGGGGGCGGCCTTGGCCTGGGAATGGTACAGGAAGGAGTTGAGGAGGGATTTGAGGCGCGGGCTGATGCGGGCGAGAGTGGTGGTCGCAGGACTGAGCAGGGTGAGGAACGGCACTGGCACCATGTTGCTGTGGTGGGGGGAACGTGTGGAGTGTGGGGGGGATGGAGGAGGGCTGGGGATTGTGAGGGAGTTGTTGGTGGGGGGATAAAGGGGGGGGGTTAAGGCGGAGGGAGTCAGGTAAGAGGGGACCAGGGGCTGAGTAAGAGGGTTGATACGGGAGACAGTGGCCGAAGCAGGACCGAGGAGGTAGAGGATCAAAGGCACTGGCAGCATGTTGCTGTGGTGGGGATACGGGTGGAGTACCTGGGGAGATTAAGGGTACATTCCGCTGTGGACACATGTCCCAATCGATGTGTCCCAATCGAGTGTACCGCTCCGAACCGAACTAAACCAGAGAAGCGAAAATTTCGACAATGTTTGAAACTAGGGTGTAATTCGGTGTAATACGATGCAGTGCGGTAGAATCGATTCAGACACTTTCGATTGGGACAGTCCAGAGCGGAATGTACCCTAAGGAGCTCGGGATAATGAGGAGGACGTTATGGAGGGTGAGCGCGAGAGGCCAGGATAGTGCTGACAGAAAGGGACATTTTTTTCAAGCTAAACTGCTCTGTTTATAATATGCGGACAGATGAACTGTGTATTCGTTTATTTTAAAAAAAGTCGTTTATCTTTTCAATTTCGCAGCTCACCCAAGAACGGCCAGTGAGGAAGCTACCAACGGCTCCATGCCCATCCAGTACGCGACGGGTATGGCGCCTCTTAACTCCACCACCGGCAGCGACGCGATGAACGTCACGATCGCCGCATCGGGCCAATGCGACTCGCGCAGCGCCGCCGCGACGCGCAGCCCGAGACCCGACTTGGCTATGGACGTCGCCGCGCCAGCCGCGGCGCCACTTGCGGCGGCTGTTGCGGAGGGGTCGGCGGCTAGTGCGGGGAATGGGGAGACGAGGGAGAGAAAGAGCGGAAAAAGCGCCGCGGCTGCGACGAGGAGGAGTGCGGGAAGGGCGGAAGGCAGCGGCGGAGGCGGAGGGCGGGAGTCTAATGGGGCACTCTGATGTCTTTGCGAGAAACGCGGCGGCGCAGCGTCCACACTGTTGGAGGCGGGGGTCTGAAGCGGGACGCTCTCTAAAGGAGAGAATTCACTGTTAGCGCTCGAGCCGTTTCTGTCTGGAAAAGCGGCCGCAGCAGCGGACGAGGATACTACGGGCGTGACCAATCTTCTCGCAAAAAACAAGGCATGGCTTTGTGGCAGACGTGGCGCCTGGAACCGTTTACACGGAAGGAGCGCGCGGGGGGAAGAGAGTGCGCATTTGGCGGAAAGCGAAGAGGTTGCGCGGGATTGACGCGCAGACAACGAATCAGATGATACGCGTTGGGAGGAAAGCGAAGATGTAGCAAGCAATCTTGTCCCTGCCGCTATTGCCGTCATGCTCGCAGAGGCCATGTCGAGTCTAGTCAGCTACGCAGTGACGCGTGAGAGCGGAGGGGAGGCACGGAGACTTCCAAGGACAAGTCGTTATAAGCGTTCACCTCGTAACCTTACCAAAAAAGGTAATGAAACCTTACTGAACCGTAGTACACTGAACATGTGAAATGGTTGGGACCACATGGAGAACACTGAGTTGAGACTGAAGTGAAAGGCAAATGTCTTACATTCTGGGAGTGTAACATACGTGCTCGTATTTCTACGAGATCTGCCTACAACGAAGAAAACGTTTCCAGATTCTGAGCCCCGCGAATGCCCTTCGCCCTGGCCATGTTGTGCACAGATCGTATCATTGTTGTAGTCACTAGAGACTCTCTAATTCGCAGGTCGGACCTCGCTCGTTGCATGCGAGGCGTCCCGCGCACGTAATACGAACGTCGTTGCCACATCGGCGGAAGAGTAACGTCGCTCCTGCTCTCCTTCCCCAGTGCTTTTTTGTCCCGCTTCTACTACATCATCCATCGAGGTCCCGCTGTTTCATCGTTCCATAGCATCACATTCACGTTGCGTTAGTGCGACTACACTCGCCTTTTCCGAACAGCAGACTCGGCTCTGGAAGCAGCTCTACAGATACATTTACAACCAGCGTGTTTGTCGCTTGAGCGGCGATGGTGCTACTCCTCATCTCCATTCGATGCGAGCTTGAGAATCTAACCAAACTGCGGCCTGGGTCAGATGATTTTACATACTACATGAAACTCAGGTGGGTTTCCCGCGTTCACAGGACTAAGAGCACATTCTATCAACGTAATCTCGCCCTTCTTCTTGGCGGTCAAGTAAAGCCCTCCATAGTCCGGGTAGCTTCGATATGGGGCCTCACATGCTTTCGCAATCCTGTCAAACGAACCACCTTTGTTCAACGTATAAAGGCTAGGTCATTCGCGTATCTCAACGTATGCTTAGATGCTTAGATGTGTCAACGTATCCTCCGGCGGAGGATCAACAGACATCGGAAAGCAAGAATTCGTGATCTTCCAAACCACCAATCTTTCATCGACAGCATTGAGAAAGGCTGCTGGCACCCATCTTATGCTACATTACCATGTAATGAGAGCGTGTAGCATGTGAGAGATGTTGTTTCGAGGCGAGTGAAAACCTTGAAGTCCTGTTACTTGACCCGTTTTTCTGTTGTTGATTTTCAGATGTTCCTGTGGCGAAGTGAGTGCGAAAGAGTCGTCGGTGACTAAAGGGGAGGAGTACGAGATGAAAGGCAGCCGCGGCACTGCCAATCTCGTTCAGAAGGTAAGAGTCTCTACTTCCTGTTTGTTCCTCTGTCACATCATCCATGGAGGACAGTAATCAGACACTGCCAGTCAACTTCCAAGAGTTGTTGGAAACCTGTTTCAGATGTTCTTGACATGTTTTACACAATACAGGTCATGTCCGTTTTTATGATTTTCCCCTCTTTCTATCTATTGCCGCCCCTCCCCATCGTGCGAACCTACAGTGCAATCTCTGCAGCCGCGTGGGATCTATTTCATTAGTAGAAGGGCATGGTAAACCCTTCACTGCAGAAGATTGTGAGAACAGGAAGTTCGTCCCTCTAGTTTGCCTGGACTGCAGAGGAATGGAGCCAGTGGAATTTATTCCCAAGGACTGCTGGCATGCGGAGGGGGCAGAGTCTGGTACCAAGTTTGAAGACATTGACTTGAGCGATCAGGAGTTCTCAGACTATGACGAGAAGGCAGGAGAGTCTGTGAGCATCCTCAATTTTGAGTCTCAAATAAAGGTGATGAAGAAGTAGTCCACAGAGCAAGTATGTCTCAAATAGTTCATGTATCCTGGCTTGTTAGGCATCTGGCTGATAAGTTGGTGATCCTGGCTTGTTAGGCATCTGACTGATTGATTAGTTGGTGAAATTTCCTCACTGCAGACATTGCAATATAAGAGTGGGTAGGTACAGCATGCAAATTATCTTGGGCGTGTCCGTTGTGTTACATTACCGTATGCCGCGTTTGGGATTGTTGATTTGAGTACTGAGATCTTCCCACGCGGACGCACTGTTGAGGCACAAATGCCCGTGCGGCTGACGCATCACTCTCGACAATTGGTCTTTTCCCGTTTCACAGAGAGGATAGACCGTAAGAATGAGATGGCAACACTCTTGCTGTTTTATTCAGATATAACAGCAAATGTTCTGAAAAGGAACCTAGATTTATGCATTTTTAGCTGCCCGTTATCCATCTTGAATGCGGTTCCGCACTTTGGCTTTCGTGCTGCTGCAGTTTCCTCCTTCACGAAAGCAGGTCCCATTCCCTCAGCCGAGTCGAGACCGGAGGAGAGCCGCCATGGTACCCAGCGAGTCGCTGGACCAGTGATCTTGACTGACAGATGCCTTCATCGCCTTCATCTCTGGCTTCATTTCCCCATCACCCATTTTGGAGATGCTCTCCGCATTGGCCTCTTCATCTTCAATCCATTGCCTGGGAGCAAATCCTTTATTTCTTTGCACATGGAGATCTGCTCTGGTGGCGGGTGTTCATGAAGGCAAGAGAGATTGTTCTCACCCATATTTACAATGAACCTCCGTCTTCCCTGTAACCCTATGAGAGAGCTCTCCGGAATCAGCAATAAATAATCTCGTTGCGGAGCCCTTCGCGATCATTTGGCGCTGCTCCGAAGGCCTGCATTCAACCGGCATTGTCAATCTTCTTATCGCGCCGCGTCCATCGGCCATCCGGCGGGCCGCTGCACGGCCATTGCTGTAGACTGCTGTCGCGGCTCTCTAACCTCCGCTGGAGCTGTCGTAACGGCGTTTCTAACAAGACTGACTCCGCATCCTCGCTCATCGCTAAAAGGCTCGTTAACAAACTGACAAGGCTCATAACAAAAACTTGAAAAACGGCGTTATCGACAAGACTGACTCCGCATCCCGAAGCTCGTTACGATGCAACCTCGCCGTTACTTCCGGCTCCTCCACCTCCTCCTGCTCGCCCTCCTCTTCGCCGCACAATGCGGTGTCTTTCTGCCGGCGCAGTCCGCCGCAACTGCCAGCGCGATGGATCCCTTGCGGGAGGGCTTTGATTGGCTGCTGCACGAGCTCGGCGGAGCGGACGCGGACGAGTTTGCTGCTGGGGGAGGAGACGCCGCGGGCGCGGGGAGCGCCGCGCCGATGGACGGCAGCATCGAGGCGTCGCTGGAGGAGTCCGGGTTCGCAGAGCTGCTGACGTGGCTGCGCGAGAATGGCGCGGAGGGAGACGCGCTGACCGGAAAAAGCCTTAAGGTGAGTCATGTTGCGACCATTTGATGAAAATGATGATTCCGCAACCATCAATGCGACATTGTCAAACATGAATATGCGACCATCGATAGAAAGTTTAAATCGGACACATTATTGCACATGGGAAGTTTTAAACAGTCATGTTTCAGCAGTTTTTTTTTTTTTTTTGCTAGCGGTGAACGTTGGAATATTAATATAATCCGGCATGCGTTGTGCAGACTTTCGTTTAGGTAAAATCTGTCTATATAGTTCTGATTGAGAATGAAAGCGTTATTAAGAATGCAGGCTGTGTGCAAAGGCATATTCCAGCCATGTCCTATGTTTCTATGTACGAGTCTACCATGATGACGTTTCTCGTGATGAATGCAAGGTTTCATCTCAAATTTTCCCCCTCTTCCTGATAGAACTTTTCTACGCGCGGCTTTGCTGCTGCGACAGTTTTTGTAGTGCCACGATTGAGCAATGAAAGTGCTTATCGGATCAAATGCTCTTAAAATGGTGTGAACGAACACCCGTTTGTCGTATATTAAGCATCTACCTTTCTCGATTGTTCCAACAATCCTCCTTCCTTTTTCTAATTGTGCCCACACAACTCAACTTTGCAGCTGAAGGTGTATAAAGTGGAGATTCCAGACGACTCTGACTCAAATTCTACGGCTGAAGACACTGGAATAAAGGAGGTGGGGGATGGTTCGACGGGCATTAAGGAGGAGAAAAAGGAAGTGAAGGAGGTGAAGGCGAAGGAGAAAAAGAAAGTAGCGAAGAAGAAAGTCGTGAAGGAAAAAGTGGTGAAGAAGAAAGCGTATGATGATTATTATGATGATGAAGATGAGGAAGAGGAAGAGGAGGAGGAGGTGGTGGAAGAGGAGGAAGAAGAGGAGGAGAGCGAAGGCGCAGCAGGCGGTGAAAACGAGAAGGCAAAGAAATTCAGGCAAGTGGAAGGACTTGGTTTTAGGGTTTTGAGCCTTGTCTCTCACAGTCCAGGGTTCAGGGCTCAGGAACAGGGTTTAGGGTTCAAGTTGAGGGTTCAGGGTTAATCTGCTGTATTCATCACACGGAGCACGTAGCTCACAGCGTGCTGTCTAGCAGCCGCTGCATCGGGTACAGCTTCAGATTCAGCCTCGGACGCAGCCTCAGGTGCAGCCACAAATTCCGCCTTGGATGCAGCCTGGCACGCACATGCCCCTCGGTTGAACCAAAGAGAATCAGCAGCCAAACCCTTTGCTGCTTGTCAGAAGTTTTGCCTCTCCCCCAACCCAACTCCCCCATTTCTCTCCTCACCTCCCCTTTCCCTTCCCCTTCCCCTCCTCTTTCTTTCTTTCCTCCCCTTCCTCCCTCCCCACTCCCCTCTCCACCTCTCAGGTTCTTCCCCCAGCTGCTAGCAGCAGCGCCCATAGGTGCGGGGCAGCTGCTGCTGCGCCTGCCCCTGCCGCTGCTGCTCAACGCCTCGTGCTGCTCCGCGCCGCGTCTCCCCCTCTCCCCCGAAGGCGACCTTGCCGCCTGCCTGCTGCTGCTGCAGCAACAGAAGGAGGGGGGCGAGCCGGGGGAGGGAGTGGCGGAGGGGGAAGGAGAGGGCGAGAGGGAGGGGGAGAGGGGGGAAGCGCGAGTGGCGCCTGCCCTGCTGCCGGCGCTGCTGGCGTCCCGCACGGCCCACCTGCTGCCCATGCTCAGAAACGACCTCCCCCAACTGCCCCTCCTCCACCAGGTCCGCCCTCCCCCTCGCCTTTCACCTCCCCCTCCCCCTCCCCCTCGCCCTTCCCCCTCCCCTAAGCTCCCCTCACCTCCCCCACTCCCCGACTTCTTCCTCCCGGTTTTCCCTATCCCTTCGTTCCCCCAATCCACCCACTTGACTCAACTCCTGGCCTCTCAGACTCCCCTCTTCCCCTCTTCAGCTGCCCCCGCACAATTTTACATTCTCCCACTTCTTGCTGGCGTTTTTCAGAGATTCCTTCGAAACTGCCTCTACTTCGCCTGTTTTTTTCATCTGTTGTCTGCTGCACCTCACTGCACCTCGCTCTCAGTCTGTTATATCTCCTACCTCCATCCCTTTACCCTTGCCTCTTCCCTGCCCAATCTCGCCCTCCCCCCCTCCCGCTGCCCTCTCTCTCCCTCCATATCTCTCCCTCCCCTTTCTCCCCTTACTCACTGGCCCTCCTACTTCCACCCCTCTCTTCTGCTTCATCCTCTCCTTCGCCCTCCCCTCCTTCGCCCTCCCTGCTTTGCTCTTCCTGCTTCGCATTCCCTGCTTCGTCCTCCCTGCTTCGCATTCCCTGCTTCAACTTCCCCGCTTCTTCCTCCCCGTCTCGCCCTCTCTGCATTGCGTTGCCGCTCACCCTCGCAGGCCTTGGCCCAGAGGCGGCAGTACGAGAACGAGTATTTCAACTGGACGGCCACCATCACCGACATTAGGTATTGAGACGTCTCAAAACCTTTCCCGCTTCTCCCTGTCTGTCTTGGCCACTCTGTGTTGCCCTGCTGCTCACCCTCGCAGGCCTTGGCCCAGAGGCAGCAGTACGAGAACGAGTATTTCAACTGGACCACCACCATCACCAACAGCACTGGCGCTAGCAGCAACAGTGGAAACAGGACCACCCCCTCGCTGCCGTCGCTGCAGCAGTTTCTGGCGACGGTGGCGGCTGTGAGGTCTCTGGCTCTGCCCATGCGCCTGCCGCCCCTGCAGGAGGGGCATGGGGAGGGGAAGGAGCAGGGGGGCAGGGGGAGGAAGGGCGGGAAGAAGGGCGGAAGGAGGGGAGGGAAGGGGCGGAAGAAGCAGAAGCAGCGGCGGTTTGAGCTGACGGTGGTGCCTCTTGTGAATGCTGTTGCGCGCGCCAATGAGAGGAACCAAGGGAACGTGCAGTGGCAGGTGAGAGGTTGTCTGAACACTGGCAAGCTGCAATGGCAGCAAGGTGGAAAAAAACGGTTGCGATAAAAAACGATTGAAAAGAACGATCGTTTTTTACGGTCAGGTTTGGGAAAAAAACGTCGTTTTTTTTGTTAGACCCAAATTTTATCTCAGAAAAAAAAAAAAAAAAAACCTAAACAGATCCACAGCCACCAACACTCTCTGGCAAGTCAGTGCTGATGAGTTTCCTAGCCTGATTGCAATTAAAATAAAACAGAGAAAGGTCGTTACTGCTCATCGCTCTCTATCTAACACCATCAAAGTCACTAATGTCCCATGCGTTGGACCCCTCGCCCTCCTCCTCCTCCTCCTCCTCCTCCTCCTCCTCCTCCTCCTCCTCCTCCTCCTCCTCCTCCTCCTCCTCCTCCTCCTCCTCCTCCTCCTCCTCCTCCTCCTCCTCCTCCTCCTCCTCCTCCTCCTCCTCCTCCTCCTCCTCCTCCTCCTCCTCCTCCTCCTCCTCCTCCTCCTCCTCCTCCTCCTCCTCCTCCTCCTCCTCCTCCTCCTCCTCCTCCTCCTCCTCCTCCTCCTCCTCCTCCTCCTCCTCCTCCTCCTCCTCCTCCTCGTCAGCCGAACGCTTCCTCTTAAGCTTCTTGGTCGCCTTTCCCTTGATTCCCTTTGTCACCTCTTTCTTCTTCCTCTTCCCGATGCTGCCAAGAGCTTCCCAGTCAATCACACAATCGACATCACCTTCTTCCTCTTCAACCCGTGGTTCAGAGCCTTCGGCCTTTGGTTCACAGCTTTCAAGTGCCGTCGTCGTCACTCTTCCTAGAGTGCTCTCGTTGAGCTTGCCTGCTGCAAGGTCTGCAAAAAGGTTGGCGCGCTCTTCCTGCTTCTTGTCGAATGCAGCCCTCGAGCGCCTACTGAATGCCACCGTGGTGACATCGATCATGGTCTGAGCGCTCAATCGGTTGCGATCGCGCCGCTGCACCCTTGCCATCGCAGACCAGCATCGCTCAACTTCCGACGCAGTGATAGGCTGTGATAACATTCTCACAGCCAAATCCTGCAGCTCGGGGAGTTCCCCTCCATACATCGCCCACCAATCCGCATGTGAGAGACGTCCACTCTCCACGAGCATCGCGGCGGCCCTTGCATCTTCCCCCCCCAGACGACCCTCACCTCTGTGGTACGTAGCAAGCTGGGCTTGCAGCAAGATTCGGCCTTGCACGTCACCTCCTCGTGCCTGCAGCACCGCATTGACCCCTTTGATGATCTCGGGGTCGTTGCGGACTTCAAGCGCGAGCTGGTTCTTCGGGTTAAGGAGCCACCCGAATGCATGCATCGGGTTATGCAACTGCTTATCCCATCTTCGCACGATGATGCCCTTGATGGCCGCCAGGCGTTGAATACTATCAGATAGAATGGGTGTGCTCCGCGATTGTCCAGCGGACAACGTGGCGCACACCACGAATTCCTAAATTGCATAGCGGGAAGTGATAGCGGATGAAGCCACGTCGCAAGTCACGTCGCAATTGTCCAGCGCACTTGGACAGTCACGTCGCAAACCCAAATGTGGGTTTCGCTGACGTGCAGCAACGGAAAATCATGTCACAAATCGAAATGTAATTCTTCGCAGCGCTTCATTCCCACGTGCGCTAACGAGTTTGTGACGCGCGCGAAAAAAGCGAGAGCAAAATGTACGATGCGAAATATTTGGCACGTCGCGACCAACCCTATAAGGACAAGTTGACGCGCGCGACAAATTATTGCGGCTCGAGCGGTAAATTTGGGTGTACAACGTGGCAGGTCGCCTCGCACACCCAGACACTCAGCTTCGCGCATGCACGAATTTAGGGCGCGTGTGATCAAAGTTCGAACTTCCCAAAGTTCGAACTTTTAGAAAGGTTCTACACGGTAGGATACAATTGAGCGATGTCTCTCCACGATGCAAAGCGGTTTGAGTTCGAACTTTGACAAAAATCCTTGGATCACACGCGCCCTTAGTTTCTGAAAGGCACGAATTGGCATCGTTGCTCTGCGAAATCAGCGAGAGCAGGGAAGCGAAGTGTTGGCATTGAGCGAAACCCAATTTCCGAACATCGCGCCTCGAACGTGGGTCTCATCTGAATCTGGCAATTGGTGCACGTGCAGATGGCTTGAAATTGTGTGCTGTGTTGGGCCCACGACTGCTGCGTGTTGGGTGGATTTGGCCGCTGGGTGGATTCACTAATCCTGCATGCCAGCAACCCTAACCCCACGAATTCTCCCGCTAACCTCATCCGCGTTTGTTGCTTGCGTACACAGAGGAGTCCTAAACCGTGAATCGTGAATTATAAGGAAAGCATCGTTACAGTAAGTACTGGTACTAAAAAACGATCGAAAAAAACGATCGTTTTTTTGCACCAAAAAAATAAACACAAATTCATCGTTTTATTCCGTTTTATACGATCGTACGGTACGATATCGAAAAAAACGACAAAAAAATGAAAAAAACGTCGTTTTTTTGCACCTTGAATGGCAGGTTGGGTGGGTGGTCTGCGGCGCCAGCAGGCTCTCCCCACACCCCCAGCTCACCCACTCGGGGTTCCACATCCACCTGAGGGCATTAGCTCGCTGACTGACTCCCTGTCTTCCCCCTCCCTCCCATCTCGATTGTCCCCCCTCCCCTCCCCAGCTGACCCACTCGGGCTTCCACCTGAGGGCATCCACTGTCTAAGTCCCCTTTATCTTCCCCATCCCTCCCTGCCCTCCTTTTCTCCCCGCCCCCCCAGCTGACCCACACGGGCTTCCACCTGAGGGCGTCAGAGGCCATTCCCACCGGCACTGCCCTCGTGCTGCCTCTCAACGGCGGCCTGCCCGACCCGCTGCAAGCCGCAGCAGCAGCAGCGCACACAGACGCTCAGGGCTCAGCGGCGAAGTGGGACAGCGAAGAAGACGAGGAAGGGGAGGGCGGAGTGCACTTGACATCACTGGGCGAGGTGGAGGAGGCGGACAGCCATGTGTCGCCGGTCACTCTGCTCTCCAACGATGATGCCTTCCTCTCCCTCGGGATCATCTCCGCCTGCGCCGCCTTCGACCGCGTGCAGGTCGGTACAGAGCGGTGGAGCTAGGTGCCGGGCGGTTAAGGTCGGTTGTAAGTGGTGCAGGTCGGTTTGGAGCAGTGCAGTTGGGTTATGAGGGGTTCAGGTGGGTCAAAAGTTCTGTGGTTATCGTGGATTTCGTTTCGTGGGGTTTTGTCATTCCCACTGTCCCCATTCCCCTCACCCCCTGTCCCCCCATTACCCCACTTTTCCCTCGCTTCCCCGCTCACATCCCTTTTCCCCCTGTCACCCCACTCCCCCTCACCACCCCCAATGCTTGCACCCATCTCATTCCCCCCTTCGCCCACATCAGCTTTACCCATCGTACGATGCGCTCACTCAGAGCGTGCTGACAGCAGCGCGCGCACGTGAACCCCGAGTTCAAGGCATCAACCTTCATGAAGCTGGCTGATCGCGTGCGCACAGCCCTGCTCAAGGAGGTGCGCGCGGTGAAGCACGAGGTGCTCTCCACCCTCGTGCAGGAAAAGCTGCTGAAGGAGGTGCTGTGCTGGGAGGAGAATGAGACAGCACTCACACCCCGCCGAACCCATCCTCACCCCTCTTTCTCCCCTCCTTCTACCCCTCATTCCCCCATTTTCCCACATCAGCTCTACCCGTCATACGATGCGCTCACTCAGAGCGTGCTGACAGCAGCGCACGTGAACCCCGAGTTCAAGGCATCAACCTTCATGAAGCTGGCTGACCGCGTGCGCACAGCACTGCTCAAGGAGGTGCGGGGAGTGAGAAGGAGGTGGTCCTCACACCCCCCTGAACTCCTCACCGTGCTTTCCCCACCCGCTTCCCCCTCTCCTGTTTCTCTATGCTTTCACCCCCTCTCCGCCCACATCAGCTCTACCCGTCATACGATGCGCTCACCCAAAGTGTGCTGACAGCAGCTCACGTGAACCCCGAGTTCAAGGCATCAACCTTCATGAAACTGGCTGATCGCGTGCGCACAGCGCTACTGAAGGAGGTGCGCGGGGTGAAGCAGATGGCACTCACACCCACACTCCAAGTACCCCCCCTCTCCCCTCCCCTCCCTCCCCCCTCCCTCTCCCCTTCCCCCCCCCTTGCCGCCTCCCCCACCCCAATCAGCTCTACCCGTCGTACGATGCGCTCACTCAGAGCGTGCTGACAGCAGCGCACGTGAACCCCGAGTTCAAGGCATCAACCTTCATGAAGCTGGCTGATCGCGTGCGCACAGCGCTGCTGAAGGAGGTGCGCGGGGTGAAGCACGAAGTGCTCTCCACTCTCGTGCAGGAAAAGCTTCTGAAGGAGGTGCTGTGCTGGGAGGAGAAGGAGACGGCACTCACACCCCCCCAAACCCCTCCTCACCCCTCTTTCTCCCTCCCTCTACCCCCCATTCCCCCTAATTCGTCCACAACAGCTCTACCCGTCATACGATGCGCTCACCCAGAGCGTGCTGACAGCAGCGCACGTGAACCCCGAGTTCAAGGTATCAACCTTCATGAAATTGGCTGATTGCGTGCACACAGCGCTGCTGAAGGAGATGTGGTGGGGGTTAGAAGAAGATGGTTCTTACACCCCCCTGAACCCCTCCTCACCCCTCTCTCTTCCCCCCCCCCTCTCTCGTTTCTCTATGCTTTCACCCCCTCCTTCGCCCACACCAGCTCTACCCATCATACGATGCGCTCACTCAGAGCGTGCTGACAGCAGCGCACGTGAACCCCAAGTTCAAGGCATCAACCTTCATGAAGCTGGCTGATCGCGTGCGCACAGCGCTGCTGAAGGAGGTGCGCGGGGTGAAGCACGAAGTGCTGTCCACACTCGTGCAGGAAAAGCTGCTCGCTGCTGCTGTCAAAGCCGAGAGGGGCCGCGGCGCGGGAGGGAGAGGCGGCAAGGCGGAGAGAGGAGGAGCGGTGAAGGGAGGAGGGAAGGGAGTGGTGGGAGGAAGGGGAGAGGAGGCCGCGAAGGAGGAGGGGTGTGGAGGGGACGTGGTAGATCAGTTGCTGTTCTGGGAGAGGCGCCGGGCCATGCGGCAGCGGTACCAGCAGAGGCAGAGGAAGCGAGCTGCTGCCCTGCTGGCTGAGCTTGAAGCTGAGAGGGCAGAGCGAGACGAGGGCGAGGGAACGGGCAAGGGCAGGAAGGGCAAGAAGGGGAGGAAGGGGAGGAAGGGGAGAGGGGATGATGAGGAGGAGGAGGAGTGGGGGGATGACGAGGAGGATGCAGTGGAGGGGCTGTATGTGTACTCGGATGGCCGGATGGACCCTGAGCTGGTGGCGTACTTCAGCGCCGTTGTGCTGCTGGCTGCTACTGGCCAAAGTGAGTGACTCGTGGTTTTATGGTCGGTGCTGGAACAACTTGTTCTTGAGGCGCCTCAGAAAGTGAGAAACTTGTGGTTTGAGGCGACCCATCAGGCTGCCTCAAAGCACAGAAGAGGATGCAGTGGAGGGGCTGTATGTGTACTCGGATGGCCGGATGGACCCTGAGCTGGTGGTGTACTTCAGTGCCGTTGTGCTGCTGGCTGCTACAGGGCAAAGTGAGTGACTTGTGTGCGGATCTGTGAGACTTATGATGAAAGTCATTCATGCATTTGAGCAGCCCTGGGCTTACCCTGCTCCCCCTCCCTCCCCGCCTCACCCCTCCAGTGCCTGACGTCATCTCCTTAGCACGAGTCAGCGTGGCATACGCATGGAACCTGGACGGCATCACCACATGCACATACATGCCACTGCTCTCCAACCCCTCCCACCCGCTCTACATGCACATCCCTCCCGACCCCACCAACCCCTCCTCCCCCCACCAGTGCCAGATGTCATGCCCTTGGCTGGAGTGTAGCACGGCTTATGGATAAAAAAAAAATTCTGTTTGGCCTTTCAGACTTCTAACAACCACCCTCCTTCCCTCCCTTCCCTCCCTTCCCTCCCTTCCCTCCCTTCCCTCCCTTCCCTCCCTTCCCTCCCTTCCCTCCCTTCCCTCCCTTCCCTCCCTTCCCTCCCTTCCCTCCCTTCCCTCCCTTCCCTCCCTTCCCTCCCTTCCCTCCCTTCCCTCCCTTCCCTCCCTTCCCTCCCTTCCCTCCCTTCCCTCCCTTCCCTCCCTTCCCTCCCTTCCCTCCCTTCCCTCCCTTCCCTCCCTTCCCTCCCTTCCCTCCCTTCCCTCCCTTCCCTCCCTTCCCTCCCTTCCCTCCCTTCCCTCCTACCCCTCACTTCTCACCCCCCACCTCCATCAGTGCCTGACGTCATCTCCCTGGCGCGTGTGAGTGTGGCATATGCATGGAACCTGGAAACACGGCTGTTCAGACATTTAAAAACCCCTCTCCCCTCCCATCCTCTTCCCCCGCTCCTCTGGCTGTCATCAGTGCCGGACGTCGTCTCCTTAGCACGAGTCAGCGTGGCATACGCATGCAACCTGGACGGCATCACCACATGCACGTACATCCCCACCAGCCCATCCTACCCCTCCTTCCCACATCAGTGCCAGACGTCATGTCCTTGGCTCGAGTGTAGCACGGCATATGGATGGAAGGAACCTGTTTGGCCTTTCAGACATCTAACAACCTCCCTCCCTCCTTCTCCCTTCCCTTCCTTCTCTCGCACCACCTCCCTTTCCATCAGTGCCGGATGTGATGTCCTTAGCACGAGTCAGCGTGGCATATGCATGGAACCTGGACGGCATCACCACATGCACGTACATGCCACTGCTCTCCGACCCCTCCCACCCGCTCTACTTCCACATCCCACCCAACCCCACCAACCCCTCCGCCTCCCCGCCGTCACCCGGTAACCACCCGGTGGTAACCGCACTCTCGCTCGCCCTGGATGTTACCGCCAGCAGCCTGCAGCGGCCGCTATCGGATCTGATGACTGCAATGATTGCTCTGGACGAGGTTGGGCGGCGGCTGATAGAGACGGAACCCATCTGTCACATGGCACAGCACTCGGAGATCCTTTCCGAGACCCTGGACAAGGTGAGTGGGGGCGCTTGTGAGAATCAATGTGTTTTGTGGCATACCCCTCCTCCTCCTCGCCCCCGTCACTTGGTACCCACCCAGTGGTAACCGCACTCTAGGTAGCAGCGGCCGCTATCGGATCTGATGACTGCAATGATTGCTCTGGATGAGGTCGGGCGGCGACTGATGGAGACGGAGCCCATCTGCCACATGGCACAGCACTCAGAGATTCTCTCTGATACCCTGGATAAGGTGAGGCGGAGAATTCACCACTTGTGCTGCGTGTGGTTGCACGGCCATGAGGTTTGTCAGTACCAACTTGAGGGTTGATGGAGACGGAGCCAATCTGTCACATGGCACAGCACTCGGAGATCCTCTCGGAGAACCTGGATAAGGTGAGGGAACGTGTCCAGCTCTCGTATTTTTCTGCCACACAGCATGATGGCACAGCACTCGGAAATTCTCGCTGAGACCCTGGATAAGGTGAGGGAGAGGGCTCCGCTCAGGTCAAGTGGCTAGTCGACCAAATACTAAACAAACACTCGAACGAGTTGATGGTGTGCACAGCACAGCACACCGGCTTTCTTTGCTGAAGCAGCAGCAGTGAAGCCAGCAAGCGCAACATCCTCGCCGTCCTCTCTGCGCGCCTCAAAAACTCCTGTTCCGTCCAATACCCCCATGCGGCCCAGGTCGCTGCTGCCACCACCACCACCAACGCAGCTGCTGCTGCTGCCGCCGCCGCCGCCGCCGCCGCTGCCGCCGCCGCCGCCGCCGCTGCTGCTGCTGCTGCTGCTGCTGCTTATCCCTAGCTCAAAATATCCCTCTCTTTCTCTCCCCCTCCAATCTTTCCTCTGGTGTGCACGCCGGCTTTCTTTGCTGAAGCAGCAGCAGTGAAGCCCGTGGTGGCGTTCCCCTTCTGACCTACCTTCCATGGCACTCCCTTTGTCTCCTCTTTACACTGCACTGCCCAGGTGTGCACGCCAGCCTTCTTTGCAGAAGCAGCAGTCAGTGAAGCCATTGGTGGCGTCCGCTACTCACCTCCCCTCCATGGCACTCACTTCCCCTCCATGGCACTCACTTCCCCTCCATGGCACTCACTTCCCCTCCATGGCACTCACTTCCCCTCCATGGCACTCACTTCCCCTCCATGGCACTCACTTCCCCTCTTTTCTCCTCCTCCCAGGTGTGCACGCCAGCCTTCTTCGCGGAGGCAGCAGCAGTGAAGCCATTGGTGGCGTTCCAAGCCAGCAAGCGCAACATCCTCGCCGTCCTCAATTGCACTCTCTTCCTTACCTCTCCTCTCCTCCTTCCCTCCACCCTCCCAGGTGTGCACGCCGGCTTTCTTTGCTGAGGCAGCAGCAGTGAAGCCAGTGGTGGCGTTCCGGGCCAGCAAGCGCAACATCCTCGCCGTCCTCTCCGCCCGCCTCAAATCCTCCTGCTCCGTCCAGTACCCCCACGAGGCCCAGGCTGCTGCCTCCGCCACCACCACCACAACTGCAGCTGCTGCTGCTGCCACCGCCACAGCTGCTGCTGCTCATCCCCTAGCTCACTCTATCTCTCCCCCTCCAATCTTCCCTCTGCCCTTCCTCCCTCCCAGGTGTGCACGCCGGCCTTCTTTGCTGAAGCAGCAGCAGTGAAGCCAGTGGTGGCGTTCCGGGCCAGCAAGCGCAACATCCTCGCCGTCCTCTCCGCCCGCCTCAAATCCTCCTGCTCCGTGCAATACCCCCACGAGGCTCAGGCCGCTGCCTCCGCCACTGCTGCCGCTGCTGCTCTAGGCAGCGGCAAAGGAGCGGCGGGAGGAGCGGGAGAGGGAGGGAGGTGGGGGCGGGGACGGGAGGGGAGAGGGGGGAGTGGAGCGAGCTGGCGAGAGAGGCGATGGAGGATTTGGATGATGAGGAGCGGTTGGATGAATTCATTCAGTGGATTCGTGAGAATGGCATTCCCGACTTTGCTGCTCCAGGATCCATCTTCCAGGTGAGATGGCGAGGGAGGGGAGAGGGGCGAGTGGAGTGAGCTGGCAAGAGAGGCGATGGAGGATTTGGATGATGAGGAGCGGCTGGATGAGTTTGTGCAGTGGATTCGTGAGAACGGCATTCCTGACTTCGCTGCTCCAGGGTCCATCTTCCAGGTAAGAGAACCTCTTGATTGAAGCCTTGTGATTTCCTCTTGGGCGTGTGAAGCGAGCTGGCAAGGGAGGGGAGAGGGGCTTTAGTGAGGGAGGGAGGGAAGGTGGTGGGGAGCGAGATGGCGAGAGAAGCGATGGAGGATTTGGATGATGAGGAGCGGTTGGAGGAATTCGTGCAGTGGATTCGTGAGAATGGCATTCCTGACTTTGCTGCTCCTGGGTCCATCTTCCAGGTGAGAGATCTTCCTGATTGGAGCATTGTTATCGCCTTTGGGTTGAATGGAGCGAGCTGGCAAGGGAGGGGAGAGGGGGGAGTGGAGCGAGCTGGCAAGAGAGGCGATGGAGGATTTGGATGATGAGGAGCGGTTGGAGGAATTCATTCAGTGGATTCGTGAGAACGGCATCCCTGATTTTGCTGCTCCAGGATCCATCTTCCAGGTGAGAAGACCCTTCGGCTGGAGCTTTGTCATTGTGTGTTGGGTTGGGGGATTACTGCTGAATGATGAGGAGCGGCAGGAGGAGGAGTTTGTTGAGCGGATTCGAGAAGAATGGAGTTCCCGACTTTGCCATGTCGGGGACCATCCACCACCACCAGGGTTACCGACTTAGCCCAGCACCTTTTCCCATTCTTCCCTCCCTCCCATCGCCGGTGATGAGTCGATTGCAGCCGTGATGAGTCGACTTAAAAAAAGGCGCTCCTTATCGCCCCATCGCCCATCTCCTATCGCCCCATTGCCCCTTCCCCGTGCAGCTGGTGTATCGCAACTCCAAGCCATCTGGCGCCAAGGCTGTTACCACACACACCGACCCCGTCACCCTCCACCCCCTCCCCCCCTACCCCCTCTCTCCTCATCTCCCTCCGTTTTACGCATTGAATATCGCCCCATTGCCCCTTCCCAACCCGCACAGCTGGTGTATCGCAACTCCAAGCCATCTGGCGCCAAGGCTGTTACCACACACACACCGACCCCGTCAACCTCCCCCCCCCCTCCCCCTCCTCTCCTCTCCTCATCTCCCTCCGTTTTACGCATTGCCTGTCGCCCCATTGCCCCTTCCCGTGCAGCTGGTGTATCGCAACTCCAAGCCATCTGGCTCCAAGGCTGTTGCTGACACCTGGTTGAAGCCCAGGTGCGTTCAGGTGGAAGCCCAGGTGCGTTCAGGTGGAAGCCCAGGTGCCATCAGGTGGAAGCCCAGGTGCCATCAGGTGGAAGCCCAGGCCATGTGCGTTCAGGTGTAATCCCAGGTGCTTGGAGGCGAAGGGTAAGGTACTGAGGTGTGCTGAGACCCTATGCACATGTCAGCACTCCATTAAGTGCCGTCTGCCACTGTGGTAACATGGTAACATGGTAACGGGAAACAGCTGGGTAACATGGTTATTTGTGTGACATTATTACTTGACAAGATGCTGCAGGATGGAGTGCCTTACCAGGGGCCTGTCTGGTCCACCGGCATGGCTGCGGCGTGGCTGTGAGCCTGTGCTGTGAGAAGCTCAGGAGTAGGAAAGTCGCCCACACACCCCCAAAGCACCACCTCACCTTCCCACCTCCCGCCCCCCCACAACAGGCGGCAGCTCACGGTGTATGCAGGGCAAGCCAGGAAGCAGGCGGGGGAGCACATGATGAGCATCCCACGGGACCTCTTCCTGGCTACAGACAAGATGCTGCAGGACGGCGTGCCCTACCAGGGGCCTGTCTGGTCCACCGGCATGGCCGCTGCCTGGCTGTGCCGTGAGATGCTCAAAGGGAGAGATTCGTTCTGGTGGCCGTACCTGCAGTTCCTGCCTCCGTCGGTCGGCTTGCCGTTTTTCTTCAAGCCGGAAACGCTATTGGAGCTTGACTCGCCTGCTTTTGTGCAGAAGGTGGGTGTGTGTGTGTGTGGATGTGGGGTATGCGGTGGGTTGGTGGGAGGGAGGGGTGTGCGCGTGGCGCGCGCGCGCGCGTGTGTGTGTGTGTGTGTGTGTGTGTGTGTGCATGCGCTTGCGTGCATGCATGTGTGTGCATGCGCATGCGTGCATGCATGTGTGTGCATGGAAGTGTGTGCATGCATGTGTGTGTATGTGTGTGCATGCATGTGTGTGCATGCAAGTGTGTGCATGCAAGTGTGTGCATGTGTGCATGTGTGTGTGCATGTGTGTGCATGTGTGTGCATGTGTGTGCATGTGTGTGCATGCATGTGTGTGGATGTGTGTGCATGTGTGCATGTGTGTGTGCATGTGTGCATGTGTGTGTGCATGTGTGTGTGCATGTGCATGTGTGTGCATGTGTGTGCATGTGTGTGCATGTGTGTGCATGTGCATGCATGTGTGTGCATGTGCATGCATGTGTGTGCATGTATATGCATGTGCATGCATGTGTGTGCATGTGCATGCATGTGTGTGCATGTGCTGTTAGAATACCTCTATTCAATTTATCCTGCATATTCTAGTTTGCTTGTCTAGAGTTACGCACCCAAACCTGATTTGGGTGTACAACTGGGGTTTACCCTAGTTGTGGTTTGGTTCCAACCTTGGCCAAAATGTTTGGCCCCCAAAAGTTGGGTTAGAGAATTATTGGAGCCCTATGATTATTGGAGGCTCCAATAATTCCTCCAACCCAATTATTGGTGGGGGCCAATAATCTTGGCCACGCTCCCAACCAACCCCACTCTCCTAGCTCAACTATGTATACCCCTGCTTTTCATTCTAAGATCAATCCTTTCAATTTTCAGTCCTCATCCTTTCACAGGATTCTAACATGTTATCAGAGCATTTTGGCTCACGCCCCTTCCGATCCTAGGACCATGTGTCTTGCGTGTACTTCCACGCTTGCTCCGCCTTTCGCGAGACCATCGGCTGCCTTGCGCAAGGCCACCCTCCCGTCTCGTCCAGCAGCCGCCGCGATTTTATGGCGATTTCGCCGCCATACGCCCGCCGAATCGCGACCGTCGCGGCCGCCGCGACCAGCAGCCGCGCGGACGCGATTTCGCGGCGATTTCGCCGCCATACGCCCGCCGAATCGCGACCGTCGCGGCCGCCGCGACCAGCAGCCGCGCGGACGCGATTTCGCGGCGATTTCGCGGCGATTTCGCCGCCATACGCCCGCCGAATCGCGACCGTCGCGACCTTCGCGACCAGCAGCCGCGCGGACGCGATTTCGCGGCGATTTCGCCGCTATAAACGCCCGCCGAATCGCGACCGTCGCGGCCGTCGCGACCAGCAGCCGCGCGGACGCGATTTCGCGGCGATTTCGCCGCCATACGCCCGCCGAATCGCGACCGTTGCGGCCGTCGTGAATAGCAGCCGCGCGGACGCGATTTTGCGGCGTTTTCGCATCGCCACCGCTGCGCGGCCGTCGCCTCCGCCCTCGCGCCTAACGGCGCCCTGCTACCGTCCCCGCTTCCGCCCTCGCGCTTAACGGCGCTTCCCCCTACGCACTCGCTTCCTCCTCCCCTCGGGCCATCCGGCCCTCCTCCCCCTTCCCCCTCGCTTCCTCCTCCCTCGGGCCATCCGGCCCTCCTCCCCCTTCCCCCTCGCTTCCTCCTCCCTCGGGCCATCTGGCCCTCCTCCCCCTTCCCCCTCGGTTCCTCCTCCCTCGGGCCATCCGGCCCTCCTCCCCCTTCCCCCTCGCTTCCTCCTCCCTCGGGCCATCCAGCCCTCCTCCCCCTTCCCCCTCGCTTCCTCCTCCTTCGGGCCATCCAGCCCTCCTCCCCCTTCCCCCTCGCTTCCTCCTCCCTCGGGCCATCCGGCCTCCTCCCCCCCCCTTCCCCCTCGCTTCCTCCTCCCTCGGGCTATCCGGCCCTCCTCCCCCTTCCCCCTCGCTTCCTCCTCCCTCGGGCCATCCGGCCCTCCTCCCCCTTCCCCCTCGCTTCCTCCTCCCTCGGGCCATCCGGCCCTCCTCCCCCTTCCCCCTCGCTTCCTCCTCCCTCGGGCCATCCGGCCCTCCTCCCCCTTCCCCTCGCTTCCTCCTCCTCCCTCGGCCATCCAGCCCTCCTCCCCCTTCCCCCTCGCTTCCTCCTCCTTCGGGCCATCCAGCCCTCCTCCCCCTTCCCCCTCGCTTCCTCCTCCCTCGGGCCATCCGCCCTCCTCCCCCTTCCCCCTCGCTTCCTCCTCCCCTCGGGCCATCCGCCCCTCCTCCCCCTTCCCCCTTCTTCCTCCTCCCTCGGGCCATCCGCCCTCCTCCCCCTTCCCCCTCGCTTCCTCCTCCCTCGGGCCATCCAGCCCTCCTCCCCCTTCCCCCTCGCTTCCTCCTCCTTCGGGCATCCAGCCCTCCTCCCCCTTCCCCCTCGCTTCCTCCTCCCTCGGGCCATCCGGCCCTCCTCCCCCTTCCCCCTAGCTTCCTCCTCCTCCCTCGGGCCAACCAGCCTCCTTCCACTTCCCCCTCGCTTCTCCTCCTCCCTCGGGCCATCCGCCCCTCCCCCCCTTCCCCCTCGCTTCCTCCTCCTCCCTCGGGCCATCCAGCCGTCCTCCCCCTTCCCCCTCGCTTCCCTCCTCCCTCGGGCCATCCAGCCCTCCTCCCCCTTCCCCCTCGCTTCCTCCTCCTTCGGGCCATCCAGCCCTCCTCCCCCTTCCCCCCCTCGCTTCCCCTCCTCCCTCGGGCCATCCGGCCCTCCTCCCCCTTCCCCCTCGCTTCCTTCCTCCTCCCTCGGGCCATCCGGCCCTCCTCCCCCTTCCCCCTCGCTTCCTCCTCCCTCGGGCCATCCGGCCCTCCTCCCCCTTCCCCCTCGCTTCCTCCTCCCTCGGGCCATCCAGCCCTCCTCCCCCTTCCCCCTCGCTTCCTCCTCCTTCGGGCCATCCAGCCCTCCTCCCCCTTCCCCCTCGCTTCCTCCTCCCTCGGGCCATCCGGCCCTCCCTCCCCCCTTCCCCCTTCCCCCTCGCTCCTCCTCCTCCCTCGGGCCATCCGGCCCTCCTCCCCCTTCCCCTCGCTTCGCTTCCTCCCCTCGGGCCATCCGGCCCTCCTCCCCCTTCCCCCTCGCTTTTCCTCCTCCTCGGCCATCCGGCCCTCCTCCCCCTTCCCCCTCGCTTCCTCCTCCCTCGGGCCATCCAGCCCTCCTCCCCCTTCCCCCTCGCTTCCTCCTCCTCCTCGGGCCATCCAGCCCTCCTCCCCCTTCCCCCTTCCTCCTCCCCTCCTCCTCCCTCGGGCCATCCGGCCCTCCTCCCCCTTCCCTTCCCCCTAGCTTCCTCCTCCTCCCTCGGGCCAACCAGCCCTCCTTCCACTTCCCCTCGCTCCCCCCTTCCCCCTCGCTTCCCCTCGCTCCCTCGGGCCATCCGGCCCTCCTCCCCCTTCCCCCTCGCTTCCTCCCTCCCTCGGCCATCCAGCCCTCCTCCCCCTTCCCCCTCGCTTCTCCTCCTCCCTCGGGCCATCCAGCCCTCCTCCCCTCCCCCTTCCCCCTCGCTTCCTCCTCCTTCGGGCCATCCAGCCCTCCTCCCCCTTCCCCCTCGCTTCCTCCTCCTCCCTCGGGCCATCCGGCCCTCCTCCCCCTTCCCCCTAGCTTCCTCCTCCCTCGGGCCAACCAGCCCTCCTCCACTTCCCCCTCGCTTCCTCCTCCTCCCTCGGGCCATCCGGCCCTCCTCCCCCTTCCCCCCCCTCGCTTCCTCCTCCCGCGGGCCATCCAGCCCTCCTCCCCCTTCCCCCTCGCTTCCTTCCTCCCCCTCGGGCCCCGGCCCTCCTCCCCCTTCCCCCTCGCTTCCTCCTCCCTCGGGCCATCCAGCCCTCCTCCCCCTTCCCCCTCGCTTCCTCCTCCCTCGGGCCATCCAGCCCTCCTCCCCCTTCCCCCTCGCTTCCTCCTCCCTCGGGCCATCCAGCCCTCCTCCCCCCCCTTCCCCTCGCTTCCTCCTCCCTCGGGCCCCAGCCCTCCTCCCCCTTCCCCCTCGCTTCCTCCTCCCTCGGGCCATCCATCCCTCCTCCCCCTTCCCCCTCGCTTCCTCCTCCCTCGGGCCATCCAGCCCTCCTCCCCCTTCCCCCTCGCTTCCTCCTCCCTCGGGCCATCCAGCCCTCCTCCCCCTTCCCCCTCGCTTCCTCCTCCCTCGGGCCATCCAGCCCTCCTCCCCCCCTTCCCCCTCGCTCTCCTCCTCCTCCGGGCCATCCAGCCCTCCTCCCCCTTCCCCCTCTCGCTTCCTCCTCCCTCGGGCCATCCAGCCCTCCTCCCCCTTCCCCCTCGCTTCCTCCTCCCTCGGGCCATCCAGCCCTCCCCCCCTTCCCCCTAGCTTCCTCCTCCTCGGGCCATCCAGCCCCTCCCTCCCACTTCCCCCTCGCTTCCTCCTCCCTCGGGCCATCCAGCCCTCCTCCCCCTCCCCCTCGCTTCCTCCTCCCTCGGGCCATCCAGCCCTCCTCCCCCTTCCCCCCCTCGCTTCCTCCTCCCTCGGGCCATCCAGCCCTCCTCCCCCTTCCCCCTCGCTTCCTCCTCCCTCGGGCCATCCAGCCCTCCTCCCCCTTCCCCCTCGCCTCCTCCTCCTCCCTCGGGCCATCCAGCCCTCCTCCCCCTCCCCCCTCGCTTCCTCCTCCCTCGGGCCATCCAGCCCTCCCCCCCCCCTTCCCCCTCGCTTCCTCCTCCCTCGGGCCATCCAGCCCTCCTCCCCCTTCCCCCTCGCTTCCTCCTCCCTCGAGCCATCCAGCCCTCCTCCCCCTTCCCCCTCGCTTCCTCCTCCCTCGGGCCATCCAGCCCTCCTCCCCCTTCCCCCTCGCTTCCTCCTCCCTCGGGCCATCCAGCCCTCCTCCCCCTTCCCCCTATCTCCTCCTCCCTCGGGCCATCCAGCGCTCCCCCACCTTCCCCCTCACTTCCTCCTCCCTCGGGCCATCGAGCCCTCCTCCCCATTCCCCCTCGCTTCCTCCTCCCTCGGGCCATCCAGCCCTCCTCCCCCTTCCCCCTCGCTTCCCCCCCGCAGCCCTCCCGCTGCCGTCGCCGTCCCCCTTAGCCGCCGCAGCCCTCCCGCTGCCGCTGCCGTCTCCCTTCGCAGCCGCGGCTCTCCCGCTGCGCCGCCGCCATCCCCCTTCCGCCGCCGCAGCTCTCCCGCTGCTGCCGCCGCCATCCCCCTTCCGCCGCCGCAAACCTCCCGCTGCCGCCGCCGTTCCCCTTCCGCCGCCGCAGCCCTCCCGCTGCCGCCGCCGTCCCCCTTCGCAGCCGCAGCCCTCCCGCTGCCGTCGCTGTCCCCCTTAGCCGCCGCAGCCCTCTCGCTGCCGCTGCCGTCTCCCTTCGCAGCCGCGGCTCTCCCGCTGCCGCCGCCATCCCCCTTCCGCCGCCGCAGCTCTCCCGCTGCCGCCGCCGTCTCCCTTCGCCGCCGCAGCCCTCCCGTTGCCGCTGCCGTCCCCCTTCCGCCGCCGCAGCTCTCCCGCTGCCGCCGCCGTTCCCCTTCCGCCGCCGCAGCTCTCCCGCTGCCGCCGCCGTTCCCCTTCCGCCGCCGCAGCCCTCCCGCTGCCGCCGCCGTTCCCTTCCGCCGCCGCACCAGCCCTCCCGCTGCCGCTGCCGTCCCCCTTCGCAGCCGCAGCCCTCCCGTTGCCGCTGCCGTCCCCCTTCCGCCGCCGCAGCTCTCCCGCTGCCGCCGCCGTTCCCCTTCCGCCGCCGCAGCTCTCCCGCTGCCGCCGCCGTTCCCTTCCGCCGCCGCAGCTCTCCCGCTGCCGCCGCCATCCCCCTTCCGCCGCCGCAGCTCTCCCGCTGCCGCCGCCGTCTCCCTTCGCCGCCGCAGCCCTCCCGTTGCCGCTGCCGTCCCCCTTCCGCCGCCGCAGCTCTCCCGCTGCCGCCGCCGTTCCCCTTCCGCCGCCGCAGCTCTCCCGCTGCCGCCGCCGTTCCCCTTCCGCCGCCGCAGCTCTCCCGCTGCCGCCGCCGTTCCCCTTCCGCCGCCGCAGCCCTCCCGCTGCCGCCGCCGTCCCCCTTCGCAGCCGCAGCCCTCCCGCTGCCGTCGCCGTCCCCCTTAGCCGCCGCAGCCCTCTCGCTGCCGCTGCCGTCTCCCTTCGCAGCCGCGGCTCTCCTGCTGCCGCCGCCATCCCCCTTCCGCCGCCGCAGCTCTCCCGCTGCCGCCGCCGTTCCCCTTCCGCCGCCGCAGCTCTCCCGCTGCCGCCGCCGTTCCCCTTCCGCCGCCGCAGCCCTCCCGCTGCCGCCGCCGTCCCCCTTCGCAGCCGCAGCCCTCCCGCTGCCGTCGCCGTCCCCCTTAGCCGCCGCAGCCCTCTCGCTGCCGCTGCCGTCTCCCTTCGCAGCCGCGACTCTCCCGCTGCCGCCGCCATCCCCCTTCCGCCGCCGCAGCTCTCCCGCTGCCGCCGCCGTCTCCCTTCGCCGCCGCAGCCCTCCCGTTGCCGCTGCCGTCCCCCTTCCGCTGCCGCTGCCTTCTCCCTTCTCCTTCACAGCCCTCCTGCTGTCACCGCACGGCACGGCACCTTCGGCTGGCCTGCATCCTCACTTACGACAGGCCCCCCCCCTCCTCCCCCTTCATGCTTCAGGGGTTGTCCCGTCTCTCATTCAAGCCTCCTAGCTTTATGCAGGCTAAGGGGTTGTGTTAGAATACCTCTATTCAATTTATCCTGCATATTCTAGTTTGCTTGTCTAGAGTTACGCACCCAAACCTGATTTGGGTGTACAACTGGGGTTTACCCTAGTTGTGGTTTGGTTCCAACCTTGGCCAAAATGTTTGGCCCCCAAAAGTTGGGTTAGAGAATTATTGGAGCCCTATGATTATTGGAGGCTCCAATAATTCCTCCAACCCAATTATTGGTGGGGGCCAATAATCTTGGCCACGCTCCCAACCAACCCCACTCTCCTAGCTCAACTATGTATACCCCTGCTTTTCATTCTAAGATCAATCCTTTCAATTTTCAGTCCTCATCCTTTCACAGGATTCTAACATGTGCATGCATGTGTGTGCATGTGCATGCATTTGTGTGCATGTGCATGCATGTGTGTGCATGTGCATGCATGTGTGTGCATATGCATGCATGTGTGTGCATGCATGCGAGTGCATGTGCATCCGTCCCGGCACCACTTCCTTCCCCTTCCCTTCCCTCCACTCCCTCCCTAACACATCAACCCATCTGGACAACCACTGTCAAAAAAACTATTGAGCCATCTCCTCCACCACCCCCCTCCACTACCCTCCACCCTTCCCCACCCCTCTCCTACCCTCCTCCATCCCTCTCGTACCCGCCTTCCACCCCTCTCCACCCCTCTGGTTCAGATCTCGACCCATCTAAACAACTACCGTTCCGAGTACAACCGCATTGCACCGCACTTGCGTGCCAACACCACCTTCTTCGAGTACCTGTGGGCCGTCTCCATCATCAACTCGCGTGCCTTCGGCGACCAGGCGCGCAGTAACACCGTAACCGTCTGTCACCGTGGACAGGCCAACACGACCCCCTTGGAGCCTGGTTTGAGGCGCCTAAACTCCACCCCCTCCACCCCTCTCCAAACCTCTCCATCCTCTCCTACCCCTCTTCACTCCCCCCACCCCCATCTACCCCCCTCTACCCCTCTCCATCCCTGTGAATCAGATATCAACCCATCTGAACAACTACCGGTCGGAGTACAACCGCATTGCACCGCACTTGCGTGCCAACACCACCTTCTTCGAGTACCTGTGGGCCGTCTCCATCATCAACTCGCGTGCCTTCGGCGACCAGGCGCGCAGTAACACCGTAACCATCACGGTGGACGGGAAGGAGCAGGAGGTGCCGCTGGCGAGCGGGCCACTAGCACTCGTCCCGATAGCAGAGCTGCTGGACCATGAAGACATGTTCCAGGCTCAGTATGATGTAAGTGGACTTGGTTGTTTAATGTGGGGGAATCAAGTGGGGGAATCAAGTGGGGGAATCAAGTGGGGGAATCAAGTGGGGAATCCTTTGAGTTGCCGCTTGCGCTTGTGCTGGAAGGCAACAAGCAGGAGAATCTGCTGCTTCTCCTGCCTGCCCCCTCCAACCCCCTTCTCCTCCCTTCTCCTACCCCATGTCCTCTCACCCCCTTTCCTTGCCTCCCTCCTCCCGTCTCCTCCCTCCCCAACCCTCCAGATTAGAGCATCGCAGTTTGACTTCATAGCTTTGATGCCCTTTGACAAGGGCACCGAGCTGTTCACCTCGTACGGTCCCAAGGTGAACGAGGAGCTGCTGCTGGGCTACGGCTTCCTGCCCTCTTCATCCGTACCCTCTTCCCCCCCCTCCCATTCCCCCCTCTCCCCCATCCAGATTAGAGCATCGCAGTTTGACTTCATAGCTTTGATGCCCTTTGACAAAGGCACTGAACTCTTCACCTCCTACGGTCCCAAGGTGAACGAGGAGCTGCTGCTGGGCTACGGCTTTGTGCTGGAAGGCAACAAGCAGGAGAACGTGCTGCTCTTCCGCACGCTGCTCGATGCAGTGAACCTGGTCGCCCTCGTCCTTCACCGCGACGCCGCCCGCCCCGGCAAGTGGGTGGCCGGCCCGGCCGGCGCGGGCGGGGCGGCGGGAGCGACAGGGGCGGCGGGGGCGGCTGGGGTGGCAGGGGTGGTGGGGAAGGGTGGCAAGGAGCGGGAGGAAGGGGGAGTGGGTGAGTGCCATGCGGAGACTGGTGAGGGAGAGGGAGAGGCGGAGGATGAGGAGGCGGGGGAGAAACGGGCATGTTCTGCGAAGTATGGGGATGGGGCTGTGGAGGGTGGTGGTGTGGTTGGTGGTGGTGCGGGTGTGAGTGCAGAGGCGGGCAACAAAGGGGATAGGGAGCTGAAGCAGGGCTTGGCGCGTATATGGGGAGGAGGGTTGGGTGACTGGCTGGTTAATGAGGGTGCTGATGATGATGCGGATGGTGATGATGATGATGATGATGATGATGGTTATTATGATGATGATTATGAGGAGATGAGATGATGAAGAAGAAGAAGAAGAAGAAGAAGAAGAAGAAGAAGAAGAAGAAGAAGAAGAAGAAGAAGAAGAAGAAGAAGAAGAAGAAGAAGAAGAAGAAGAAGAAGAAGAAGAAGAAGAAGAAGAAGAAGAAGAAGAAGAAGAAGAAGAAGAAGAAGAAGAAGAAGAGGCGGGGAGCAGGTGGGGCAAAAGCAAAGCGCAGGGGCGAGGGAAGAAGAGGAAGAGCAGCAACAGAGACAAGCACAAGAAGAGGAGCAAGGGGAAGGGGAAGAGCAAGAGCGGCAGCAGGCATGGAAAGAAGAAGCAGAAGAAGAGCAAGCAGAAGCAGCAGCAAGCAGACTCCCCAACAGCCAAGGTCCTGCGAGTGCGGCAGGCGCTCTGGCGGGTGGCAGCCAAAGCAGTAGAAGCAATAGCGAGGGAGCGTGCAGAGGCAGAGAAGCAGTTTGTGCACGTGGGGGCCATGCCGCAGTACGTGGGGCGGCAGGAGATCAGGAGGGAGAGCGAGGCGGATGAGGTGAATGGCGGCGTGGAGGTGCTGGCAGGGAAGTACAAGGACCCCAGCTTTGGCGTGTCTGTGTGGAGAGGAGGGATCGTGGAGCCGAATTTGCTGGCGGTGTTTGCTGCCATTTGGTATTACCTCAAGCACCATTCAGGTGAGAGGTGTGGTACTGCATTCAGGTGAGGTGAATGGCGGCGTGGAGGTGCTGGCAGGGAAGTACAAGGACCCGAGCTTTGGCGTGTCCGTGTGGCGAGGAGGGATTGTGGAGCCGAACCTGCTGGCTGTGTTCGCTGCTGTGTGGTACTACCTCAAGCACCACTCAGGTGAGTGAGATGTGTGGTACCACATTCAGGTGAGGTGAGTGGCGGCGTGGAGGTGCTGGAAGGGAAGTACAAGGACCCTAGCTTTGGTGTATCGGTGTGGAGAGGGGGGATTGTGGAGCCGAATCTGCTGGCTATGTTGGCTGCTGTGTGGTACTACCTCAAGCACCACTCAGGTGAGTGAGATGTGTGGTACCACATTCAGATGAGGTGAATGGCGGGGTGGAGGTGCTGGAAGGGAAGTACAAGGACCCTAGCTTTGGTGTATCGGTGTGGAGAGGGGGGATTGTGGAGCCGAATCTGCTGGCTATGTTGGCTGCTGTGTGGTACTACCTCAAGCACCACTCGGGTGAGCCCAACTTGCTGGCTGCCGCGTTTGGGCTCTTGTTAGTTTCTATGACGGGCATCAAGCGGAGGTTCAGCAGCACGTGCCAGTTGATAGACATCCCCACACCTATGTGACGGAAGACGCGTCTAGCGTCTTAGACGGTTGCGTCTAGACGCAGCGTCTAAGACACTAGACGCATTTCCGCCTAGGTTAGACGCATATTAGACGAAAACCCGGGCAGGCTAAAAAAATGTTCGGGCAGCCTAAAAAAACTTCTGAGGGCCATGGGGAGGGTGGGGGACATGCACATATGGCACATTTGGGTCAAATTTCCGCCGTACCAAAAGTTTTTCCCCATAATTAGAGTTCACAAAAACCTCCTTTCTCATCATACATAGTTAGGAGCCACGTCTCTACACGAAGTAAACAGCTACTACTACATCACTGCAAAAAAAAAAAAAAAAAAAAAAAAAAATCGGGCTGTCCGCGAATTTTTTACCCAAGCGTCTAGCGTCTAAACATGCGTCTAGCGTCTAGACGCTAGACGCAAGACGCGTCTTGCGTCTTCCGTCACATAGCTCCACACACACCATCTCTTTCCTTACCCCACTCTCTTTCTATTTCTCTCTCCCACCCTCCGCCAGAGTCCCTAAAGGACATGGCCAAGTTGGTGCTCTACCTGGGCTGGGGAGTGAGCAACAGTGGCTTTCAGGACCTAATCATACATATATTTCACCCCTTACTATCTGCTCTCTCCCCCTCCACCACAGCCCCCTGCCGACATGGCCAAGTGGGTGCTCTACCTTGGCTGGGCGGTGGCCGATAGTGGCAGTCGGGACACATGTGTTGATAGCCAAAGCATGCATTCATCCCTTCCTCCCTGCTTCTCCTTCCTCCCTGCTTCTCCTTCCTCCCTGCTTCTCCTTCCTCCCTGCTCTCCCTTTCTCCCTGCTTCTCCTTCCCCCCTGCTCTCCCTTCCTCCCTCCCTCCAGAGCCTCCATCTGACATGGCCAAGTCAGTGCTCTACCTGGCCTGGGGGGTGTCCAACAGTGGCTGTCGGGACACACGTTGATAGGAACATTTCGCATTCACCCCTTACTCTCTCTTTCTCTGCTCTATCCCCTCCCCTCCCTCCAGAGCCCCCAGCCGACATGGCCAAGTCAGTGCTGTACCTGGCCTGGGGGGTGAGCAACAGCGGGTGTCGCGACGTGGCCTCTCCCTTCTCCAACGTGCTGCCCGCCCTGCAAGCCGCGGCCGACACCGTTCGTCTGCTAGCGCAGGCGCGGCTGCAGCAGATGCCGACCAGCATAGAAGAAGACGAAGCGATCCTGCGGGAGCTAGAGCGGTGCAAGAGCGGCGGGAAGGTGGGGGCGGGTGGTGGGGAGGGAGCGAAGGGTGGGAAACTGGGTAAGGAAGGCAAGAAGAAGGCAGCTCAGAGCAAGCAGCAGTATAAGAAGGTGACAAGCCTGGAGGAGGAAGTTTCCGCGAAGCGTCTCAGCCGGCGCCGGCGCCGGCGTGCTGTTAGCGAAGGGAGGATCGTGGATGACTACAGCGATGATGACAACAGCGAGAGTGACAATACCGAGGAGGAGGAGACGGATGTGGAGCTTCGGGGCAGGAGCGAGGAAGAGGAGGTGATAGACTGTGACGCGTGGGAGAGAGAGCAGGCCAGCGGGGAGACTGGCGAGGAAGGCGGCGGGTCGGAGAGTGGGAACGGCGGCGGCAGCGGCGGTGGTAGTGGTGATGGAAATCCGAAGAGGCTGACGGTGATGGGGGTGCGGTGTGGGTGTGAGGCGCTGAGGGTGGAGGCGGATGAGAGGATGGTGGCAGTGCGGTTCAGGAAGACCAAGAAGGCCGTGCTGAAAGAAGTGATAGATCGACTCAGAAAGGCGTGTCCTTCCTCCGCCACTGCTTTCCTCTAGTATTGGGACGTCTCAGCACGTGGTGTTGGTGTGAGGCACTGAGGGCGGACGCAGATGAGCGGATGGTGGCGGGCGGTGCAGCTCAGGAAGACCAAGAAGGCAGTGCTGAAAGAGGTGGTGGATCGACTGAAACGGGCCTGCCCTGCCTACCCCACTGCTTTCCTCTAGTTTTGAGATGCCTGAATTCTCAACGCGGTTCTGGAGGGCCAAATTAGGCAGTGCTAAAAGAAGTGGTGGACTGGCTAGAACGGGCAACCCTGACGAGTCATGGGGGTTGGCTGGTAGGCTGAGGGTCTTTGTTTTGCACCTAGACTGTGCCAGCAGGTAGAGCTGCTGTCTTGTTCCTCATGTCTCTGCAGCAGATGTACTGTAGATCACCATGCTTGGACCGTTAGGCAGCATTGCTACCACGAGAAAGCAAGTACGTACCTTTTCTGTGCTGCTAGATTGAACTTTCTAAAAGTGTTTGCAACAATTACCACACTGTATGCTGGTTCACTACATACACTTCTAAACATGAAGGCATGCTCATTAGGACATACCCGTAACACAGTCTCATGTTCTTAGACGCAACACCCCCCCAACCGATTTGCAAGCCACGCCTTTCATCTTCCAACCGTACGAGAGAATACCCGTAGTGCTTGCGCCGAACAAGGCCGCTCCGCTGCCTCCCGAGTTTAGGGTTTAGAGATAATGGCATAAACTCCGAGTCGCACAACCTGCTCCCAACTCCCACGCACACACTCTGCCGCTTTTTTAACGGCGGGAAAAATAGCCGCTGCTGCGGCTTAGGCATCCGCCAGCCCGACGCGCCGACACGCCGCAGTGGCAGCGGAAGTTTGTCACTGAACGGTGCGGTTGACGCCGGAGATAATGCTGCCGTAGTCGATGCTCAACTCTTCACCTGGTGCAATGTCCCGCAAGGCCACCACCGTCACCGAGTCTTCTTCCAATCCGCAGTTTGGGTCGCTCGAGTGGTTTATCAGTTCGGGCGTCTCGGGCGCACGCGTAGTATCGGTTTTCTGCCCGTCTAACGACTCGGAGTCGTTCATTTGCAGCGAGAGCTTTCGCGTGTTTGCGTCGCCGATAGCCTTGCCGGCGAAAACGAGAACCCGTTCGCCGCGTCCGATGCTCGCCAATGCGAACAGCCCCTTGGAACCATCCGCGCCGCCCTTGTAGCGCGGAACCACGCGCGGGTCGTACCACCCCGACTCGGCCATCTTCCTCTCGATGTACGACGAGCAGTGGCCGGCGTTTCGCTGCTGCCAATCGCGCGAGCGCCACTCGGAAAATCTGAGCGTGCCGCGGCAGCACGCGGCGCCACAGCGGCAGATCAAACCGGCGTGCATGCTACCCTCGGTTTCCGTTGAGGCATAATCGTACGTGACTTGCTCGCCGGGCTGAATGTCGCGCAGCGCGACCATGCAACGTGGGTTAATGTACCACGAGTTGGGATCGCACGAGTGGTTGTAATAGAGGCTCGGGTCCTCGTCAGGGTCGGTTGTCGAGTCGTACACGTCATCATCGACCATGTACGAATAGCGGATCAGTATCTCGCGTTTCTCCTTATCGGGTATAGTTAATAAGTCAGAAGCGTGGTAGTACACTCGCCGCTCTTCTTCCTCCTGGTCCCAATCGCAAACGACCTCGCCCTGCGCGATTAAGCTGCTCGCGAAGAGCCCGCGGCATTGGAAACCGTAGAGCTGGTGCTCTTGCACGACGATGTGCGGGTGGAGACCCATGCTGTCTGGAGGAACAAAACGGTGAAGTGGTATGATTTGCTGTCTGATAACTGGAGCTGGGAACTCTGAAGTCGTTTTTGCTGAGAATACGTGTACACGTTCTGTATTGTATCGCCGTTAGATCATCTCGAGGATGGACTTGATGTTGCCGAGGGGGAATCTCGAGGATCCCACGAAGCACAATCAGGATCTTGGGGTGATGAAAACGGGATTTTCCCAACCACTCGCCGGTTGTGCGGTGGGGGAGAAGCGTGAGACGGCCGGCAACTACGGGTTGGATCAAACGGTGTGCCCTGTCAAAATGTGGACATTTGAGCTCTAAAATCTTTGAAAATGAATGGCGGGATCGCAGCGATTGCAGCCATTCCTTTGTAAATGTGTCGTCATCGTCATCCAATCTTTCATCTTTGACTTGTTTCGTTGAGCTCAGGGCTGGTCCAGAAAATCCGCTATCGTGACTGTACTGTACTCAACCATTCAAGCGCTACAACGGACCGCTCTAGATCATACCAAGCCTTTTTCAGCCGCAATCGAACGTACGCCATTTTGAGAATGTTGAATGATGATTCGCCTTCCTGCCCACATGCGCATTACAGTCTCCTTTATTCCCTTGGCAAAGTTGGGGTTTCCCTAGAGCCTCGTTGCACCATCAACTGTACAGTATTCCAGTGGGTCAACTTCAAGCCGAGAATTCAACCGAACCTGGACACGTTCAGCAGCATGGTTTGGTATGGGAAGTTATATTGCTCTTGGCGCTGGTCGAGCGGATTTGCCTGGGAAAAAACGTGGGTCCAGCTGCTTGGGTCGAGCTGGGAATCGACCCAAGCGGAAGCGGCGCAAGCTTGCGCCGAGTAGGACAGCCGCCACCGCCCCAAGGGCTAGGCTCGGCCTGCCCGTGAAACTGTGCTCTGCCCGAGCACATTCGTGCGTGCAATGTAGCTGGCGAATCCCGTGCTCTCGCCAACGTCAAAGTGCAGCCATCAATTGACGTGCACTTTTCGCGCAAACGGTTGCGACGTGATCTCTGCGAACACGTCGCAACCAGTATGTGAAAACTGCAATATCGAGAAACTCGATATTGAGCTTCGTGTTAGACATTTGTTTACAGTGAAATTTGGTAAACTGCACACGTTTTACTAGATTACGTCTACTTCCGCATGGGTGCAAGCTCGTTATTTGCACGTTCCTCCGCCTAATTCAGTATTATGAAACGCAATATGTACCTTGGCCATTCGCTAAGAGACAGACGAGCAGATTGTGTTTTTCAATAACGACAGACGTTTTCTACACTGCATATATCGAACACAGTTGCAGTTTGCGTCCACCCATCAACACGAACAACAGTTGTTTTGGTGTCATAATGAAAAACGACTGTTTTTTCTACACCAGGTTATAGGGTAGTAGTCGTTTATTTTTAAGAATACGGTTTTAAGTACAAATGATTAAAAATTTCGGAAACGTGATAAACTTTCGGGACCACAAGGAGACAGCTTTTTACCGGATTTTTCGATCGCGACATGGTATTTTTAACAGATTCGTAAAATGAACCAAGCCACTTTAAGCTTGTTTTTTAAAATCTCACATCTCGACACCAACCGGTGTATAGAACTAAATTGAAAATCCAGTGTATTTACATTCTTTTACATTGCGCGCCGACCGTGTTCCACGTGGCAGAGTTACTCGTTCTCTGCGGGAGGGGTGTTGCTCAGAGTTACGCCATTGTGGAGGAGCCACCCAATCGAATGCTCTAACAGAGGCGGGAAGAACCCCAGATCTGGGGTCTGGCGACCAGATCTAGAGAAGCTGTGGCGGGAAGAAGGGATGCAGTCAGAGGTTGTGGTGCTCATGTTCATGTGGCTGAGTCCCAGAATGCTTAATAGCTCTCCGTAATATGTCATTTCTTGATTCCTCCTTCAAACTTTAACACATGTTAGGGGAAAACATCACCCTCCTTGCTTCCATACCTTCAATCCAGCATGGCATGATTGATTGCTTCTTTCAGAGTTGCACACACGCCGAGGGTTGAGCCAGCGAAGAAATTTTCTCTACTCTAAAAAATGGGGGCATTTTCGAGACGCTAAAGAACTCTAAATTGAACATCCATTTCAGATCATCATTGTTCTCCACTCAGAAGGGTCACATTCATAGTTTATTCTCCCCGTAACAACTCCGATCACGAGTCTCTTTTCAGCACAACATGCTCCTGGGCTTCCTGGCAGTCCATCCCATTCCCGACGAGGCGTTTTAGATTTCGCTTGTCGAAAATAACCCTTTCAGGACAGGTTTCGCGCACATGTGGAGCATAGAGTCCTCTGAAACAGGTACACCGTGATGGCGGGCGAAGGCGGTACGGGTAATTTTCTTAGCGCAGCTCTCGATTTCGACCTCAATGAGGAGTATCATGATCTTCCAGACTGCCAACTGCCCAATGCCCCGATTGATCTAACCGGGGACCGCGATGCGGACGGGGAATTCGAGGCAGCTGTTGGGGGCGATGTGTTCCTGGATGCTCAGGAGGAATTTCCGGCCTCGAACCCTGAAGTCGGGGTCGAGGGAAATGTGGCTGAGGGCGGATTTCCGAGGGGCGGAATTCCGAGGGGGGTGTTCATTAATCTCGCGGACGATGACGATGACGAGCGTTGTTTGAGGAGAATTGGGAGGAAAATGCTAGCCGAAGCCCAACCTCTGAAGATAATGCCACCTGTCGAATTCTTTTTGTGGAACCGGCCCGTGGCAATGTGAACGGCCCAGAATCAGAGGCATCGCCCCATGGAAGTGCACATGGTGTCGGATCGTCGGCTGCGCCCGCGGGAAATGCTGAGGGACAAGAACCACAGGTTGCGCCACAGGGAAATGCGGAGGGGCAAGCATCGCAGGCCGCGCCTCAGAGAAATGCAGATGGGCCAGCATCAGCTATGCACGAGTCAGTTCGAAAACAGGCCGACGTGGCCAGCAGGATTCGCCGCGCAAAGGTCCCCTACGATTATCTCGCGGCGAAAACCAGAAAAGACTACATCCTGTATTGGCTGCACTACAAGTGGTGGGTCATCATGTTCATGTCAACGCTGCTCAAGACTGAGGTTCCGGCGGCGGAGCGTCTGGACCCGCTGAATCCTGACGAGGTTGGAAGCCATCTGGGGAACGACAAAAAGGCGGAGTGGTCAACTGTGGATTTGGATGAAGTTTATCTCCACGGGCCCCGTGTTACTGGATGGAGGATTCAGAGGTTCCTGCGGTACATGGCAGAGGAAACCCCCGCGCAGGCCGAGATGATGCGGAGAGGCGAAGAAGTGGTGGCTGGAAAGGAGCCCATCCCTAGTACGCCGAGCATGATGAAGGCAAAGATGAGCGCTTTGGGCTTCCTGGGTAGACTTGAAGCTCGACTCTACGACTACCCGAAGGCCCAAGCAGATGAGTACATCGGCGAATCGCGGGAGTACATGAAGCTCAAGCTGAAACAGCTGCACGACAAGCAGGTTGCGTGAGTATTTACACACTTCATGGCCAAACAGATTCTCGAAAATTCGATGCCTAAGCACGTTTCACGTTGGTCTATGCAGGGAGGGCAAGGATCAGCACCGAAACTCTCTGGACGATTGCTACACGTCGGAGCAGTACGCGGACCTGCACGAGAAGCACTTTCTGAGGGAGATCAAAGAGTGCTACCAGAGAGCCAGGGTTGCACTATCAGAAAGTCTCTGGCGGTGTTTTGCGGTGCAGGTGATGATTCAACTCGCACACCAAATGTTGGGGAGGGGATGCAGCATTCGTGCTCTACGATTCGCGAACATGTTTGTCCGCCACACGCGTAGCAGCACGGCCGTCCCCGACCGCCAGAAGGATCTCCCTGTGGTGGTTTTCGCCTCTCGAAAGTCCAAGACGAATGCGACCAACAGGCTGACCCACCAATTCTTGGCCCGGCACATCAACTTCGCGCTCTGCGGTGTTGGTGGTCTTTTTCTGTGGATTCATTTCGTCTACGACCTCGTGCCACTGCGATTCGGAGCGGACATCATTCCGCCACTGGACTTCAGCGACCCCCTTCAGTGGTCTAAGAAGCACATTTTCTTCCCATTGAGGCACGGAAGGGAACAACTGCAGGAAGAGCTTCCGTACGTGACTCACAACAACTGGATTAATTGGGTCATGAACGACGTAGCGCGACCGCCCTGGCGGATTAGCAAAAAGACCCATGCGTTTCGCCGATCGGGAGCCCAAGGCCTGAGTGACGATCGCTGTCCCGACCCCGACATCAACGCTCTCGGCGGCTGGGAGCAGGGCGAGATGCGAAAATCCTATGTCGTGGGCGTTCCGTTTTGGCCGGTCTTGATGATGGCCGGATTCAGTGGGGAGCCGGGAGATTACTACATCGGCAGAGCGCACGCTAAACTCGACAACGACACCGAGTGGAAACAGTTGCAAGACCTCTTCAAGCTGTTCATCTTCCCGCGCCTCGAATCTGATTTGGCAAAGGTACCCCTTGATTACCCAGCCTTTTGCAGTGTCTAAAGTTGTTGCGCTAGGCAGAGCTGAATGTCTTCTCTGTCCTACCATCTCAGGTCGATATGTACAACCGCGAGAATCCGGATAAGCCGCACCACTCTGGCAGAAGTTTTTTGGAGGCTCTTGCAAACCCTGGGCGAGACATCGTGGCACAGGACCTTGCCATGTGGTGGTTCTACTGCCCCGATCACGACCATCTTTTCGACGGTACAAGACGGCCATGCCAGTGCCCGCGCCACCCGTACACGGACATGAATCCGCTCTGCCGCCACCATCTCTTCCAGAAA